TGTGTGTGTCTGCGTGAGTGTGTGTGCGAGGGTGTGTGAGGCTGTGTGTGCACGTGTCTGCGTGAGAGTGTGTGTCTATGGTATCCTGGTGCAGCCTTGATTCTCTGCCTCTAAATCTTAAAAAAAAAAAAAGAGAGAGAGAGAGAGAGAGAGAGGTCTCCATCCACTGGTTCACTCCCCACGTGGCTGCAACGGCCAGGGCTGGGCCAGGCTGAAGCCAGGGGCCTGGAGCTCATCTGGGCCTCCCGCCTGGGTGGCAGGAGCCCAGGCACTCGGAGCGGCTTCAGCTGCCTCCCAGGCGCCTTAGCCGGGAGCTGCCGGGACTCAGACCGGCGCCACTGAGAGCAGCGGCGTGACCGGGACACCGAGTGCCCGGCCGCTGCTCACGTCCTGCCCCTCCGAGCCCTCTGCTTGTTCCCGGCCTTCGTGGGCCTCCCTGCTTGCTGAGCTGTGTTCCCTGCGTTCCGGCGCCTCTCACGGCTCTCAGGCCCGCGTGCCCCGTGTGCCCCTCCGAGCCCGAGCTCCTGGGCGCCTCGCTGCCCCCTGCAGCCCGGGCGCGTGGGCCTTTGTGCCCAGCTCCGGGACACTCTGCTGCTTGTTCCCGCTTTCCACTCGCGGCCTTGCTGTCCCAGCGCCAGCTCGCCGGCCGTCTGTGTTTATCTGGTGCTGACCCGTCCACGCTGTGCAGGCCAGGCCCTGTCCTTTCCTCTCGCGTCGTCCGCCTTGCCCAGCCTCCCTGCACTTGACTTCCTCTGCTTCCTTGCGCGTGGGAAGCGCGTTCGTAAGGGCGGTTTTCCCGGCCGTCCTCTCGGGTCTGGATCTTCCTGTCCTCTGATCCACTAGCATCGTGGATTAGGCTTCTCTTCTCTGCATGGCTGCTGCTGTTCTGTTGGGGCCCAGGTGCTTTGGATTAGGTGCTGTGGGGTGTGTGAGGGAGAGGGAGCACACACGTGCCTTGTTCTGGGCTGGGGCGAGGCTTGGCCACGTTGGAGCAGTGTGGTCCCTGCAGCAGTGTCCTCTGAGGGCCGCGTGTGCCCCTCCCTGGGTCGCTCCTCCTCACCCTTGCCCTGGCCTCGGTGGCTCGCATCAGGCGTCCCGGCTGCCTGGGCGTCCTCAGCTGTGACTGCCTACTCAGCACAGGGAGGCGGCCAGCTCCGGGGCGGCCCATCCCGGCCCTGTGGCTTGAAGACCCCTCGAGCCAGCAAGCCGGCCGATGGTGTGGGCCTCACAGCGGCCCCCTTCCTCGGGGTGCTCTTTGTCCCGAGGTGCCTACTGGGACACCAGTGTAGCCAGGGGCTGCTTCCGGGTCTCCCTCGTGGGTGCAGGGGCCCACTACTGGGGCCACCTTCCACTGCTTTCCCAGGCCACAGCAGAGAGCTGGATCGGAAGTGAAGCAGCCGGGACTCGAACTGGCGCCCATAGGGGATGCTGGCACCACAGGCGGAGGCTTAGCCCACTATACCAAAAAAAATTTATTTGAAAGAGTTACAGAGCAAGAGGGAGTGATAGCAAGACCAATCTTCCATCTGCTGATTCACTTCCCAAATGGCCCTAACAGCCAGGCTGGGTCAGGAGCTCCGTCCTGGTCTCCCACGCACCTGGGCCAGCTTCCACTGCCTTTTTTTTTTTTTTTTGACAGGCAGAGTGGACAGTGAGAGAGACAGAGAGAAAGGTCTTCCTTTGTCGTTGGTTCACCCTCCAATGGCCGCCGCACTGCAGCCGGCACACCACACTGATCCGATGGCAGGAGCCAGGTACTTATCCTGGTCTCCCATGCAGGTGCAGGGCCCAAGCACTTGGGCCATCCTCCACTGTACTCCCTGGCCACAGCAGAGAGCTGGCCTGGAAGAGGGGCAACCAGGACAGAATCTGGCACCCCAACCTGGACTAGAACCCGGTGTGCCGGCGCCACAAGGCGGAGGATTAGCCTAGTGAGCCACGGTGCCGGCCCTCCGCTGCCTTTCAAGGCACATGAGCAGCTGGGACTTGAACCACTGCTCTGATAGGGAATGCTGGTGTCACGGGCAGCTGAACCCACTGGGCTACAACACAGGCCCGTAATCGGACATTGTTGAAAATCCCGTTTTATGTCAGGATTTTACCCGTGCCTCTCTATTCTTAGTGCTGCCCTAGGAATTACCGTAGACGCTCACGTCCCGCTGTTCCATGAGCCGAGCAGTTGTGCAGGTCCCTTCCTCTGCCCACATGCCTACCCGTGTGCCATGGGCTCGCACCAGACACTGCCAGCCTCACGCCTGCTGAGCCTCCCTGGCACTGCACCTGCGCACGGCCCTCTGGGCCTTCACTGCCCCGTGGCGCCCGGCTCCAGCCTGGAGTGGCCCTTAGCATCCTCCTCGTGGTGGATTTCCTTACTTTTCATCGTAAATATATTCATTGTGGTTCTGCATCATTCCCACCAGGAAAAGAATTCTAGTTTGGCAGGAGTTTTACTGTAGCAGTGGAGTCCTCCCGCTGTGCCCGGGCCTCTGTGGTTCGCGGCGGGAAGGCGGCTGCTGTGTCTCCCTGTGCCGTGTCGTCCCTCCCACGCCCTGGCTGCTGTCCCGATTTTTTATTTTCAGCCTTTTGAGTGACGCACCTAGGGGTAAGCTGCTTAGACCTGTAAATTTCTGCCTTTCACCAACTTTGGGAAATTTGCGGTTTTTTGTCTCCTTGCCTCTCCTATCTCCACGTAAACGCCAGGTCTTTCAGGTTGAGTAGACGCGTATCCCTGATCACTGTTCATTTTCTCTTTTCAAGATTTCTTTTGAAAGTTACAGAAAGACAGACAGGCAGTGACCTTCCACCCACTGGCCAGTCATCCAGTGTGTGCAACGGCCAGGGGCCAGGAGCTCCATCTGGGCCTCCCACGTGGGTGGCGGGGGGCCGGGCACTCGGGCCATCACGCACCATCTTCCCAAGCGCAGCAGCAGCAAGCTGGACAGGAATCCGAGATGGGTGCCAGCAGTGAGACTCCCAGCGGCGTCCCACTCCGAGATGGGTGCCAGCAGTGAGACTCCCAGCGGCGTCCCACTCCGAGATGGGTGCCTGCAGCACACCCGCTCCCGCTCATCCGTCTGGACAAACTGTGGGAACCTGGAGCATGGTCAGGGCCGCCCTAAAGCCTGCACTACTTCGAGTCGGGGCCACACTGGGTGGGTGCCCACTGCTTTTCCTCTCAGGAACGGTTCACGTTTCCTGTTTCTCCTTCGGTCCAGCGGTTTTGGGGCACTGTGGGGAATCCCGTGCCTTCCTGGTTTTCCCCATTTGTCTCGGAGAGGGGTGGCGGAGGTTTTCTGGTTCTCGGAAGCGTCCCCCCTCAGGCCCCAGGGACCCACCCAGCTGCACCTTCCAGGGCCCTCGCATCCTGGCCCTCGGCCTGGGGCGCCTCCCTCAGGACTGCTGAGCTCCCCCACCCACAGTCCCTGGTGAACCCCAGCAGGGCACTCCGCTTCCTCTCCTGGGTGAGCTCGCAAACCCAGAGCCAACGCGGTGAGCCGCACCAGCCGTGCCGGCCGCGGGCTGCAGGTCCCCAGGGAAGTCGTCCAGCACGGCTCTTCCCCCCGTTAGCGCCGTGCAGCTCCTACTTCCTGCGCCGCCTGCCCCGTCCACACTGCCCCGCTGTCGCTGGGAGAACGCAGCTCTAAGGCCAGCAAGGTCTCTCGGCGTTTTGTGTATAAAAGCAGAATCAGGGGCCAGCACTGTGGCGTAGTAAGTTAAGCACCTGCCTGCAGTGCCGGCATCCCACGTGGGCCCTGGTTTGAGTCCCGGCTGCTCCACTTCCGATCCAGTTCTCTGCTGTGGCCTGGGAAAACAGCAGATGGCCCAAGTCCTTGGGCCGCCACACCCATGGGGTAGTCCTGGATGGAGTTGCAGGCTCCTGACTTCGGTCTGGCCCAGCTCCGGCCGTTGTAGCACTTGGGAAATAAACCAGCGATGGAAGCCGTCTGTCTCTTCTATCTGTAACCCCGCCTTTCAAGTCTGTCTGTCCACATGTAGGTAGATTTAGACGACAGGAGAGGCCCTCAGCCGTGCACGTGGCAGGGCCTGGTGCTCCCACCTCGTCCCAGGCAGGACAGCTGGGGCGCGAGCCGGCAGATGGGATGCCAGCACCACGAGGCACAGCTTCGGCCCCGGGGCTGCCATCCTCACCCGAGGGAGGACCTCTGGCATCCGCCATTCAGGGAGCTCACGTCTGCTCAGCCCTGAGTGGCCACTGGTTCCCTGCCCTAGGCCTACAAGTACCTGGAGGAGATGCGGAAGGCACTTCCTGCCGCCAACATTTCCTACTACGTGGACCAGCGGACAGTGGACGCCGTGCACCAGGGCCTGGGCCTGCCTCTGGCGCGCGCTGCGCCCGAGCGGATCCGCCACAACAGCATGGAGGAACAGAGGGACGCGGACGACGTGGCAGAGGAGGTGGAGGGCGAGCCCTGAGGGCCGCCGCAGGCCTGCTGCTGGGTCAGGTCGCGGGGGCGGCTTTCTGTTAACGCCCCTCTGTAGGCGTGCACCCCTGGATGGGGGGCCTCGCTCCGTGTTTGGGAGGCAGAGTGCATCTGAGAAACTGTCCCCTGGCGTGCCAGCCCCCAAGTGCTCAGTGGCCCTGTGTGTGCAGCTTCTTCAGAGGGAGCTGGATTCCTCCCACCTGTTTCCCTCCTGCAGACTGTCACGCCTTAGAAGCTTCTAGAACCTCGTGGGCTGAGGCTGTACCCAGGGACGGGCTTATCCTTGTATACCGTGCTTCCTCCCTGCCCTTGCCTGTAGGTGGTTCTGAGCTCCCGGCAGGGACGGCCCTGGCCACAGCCCAGACGCAGCCAGCCCGAGCCCCACGGCAGTGTCCCGTCACCAGAGGGCAGGGCGTCACTCCCCACCTGGTGGCTGCCAACCCTCCCACGACTCCAATAAAGTCTATTTTCTCAGAGATCTGAGCCTCCTGCCCCCCTGCCCCCGTCTCAATGGCTCCCCTCAACAGAATGCGTCCCCCCAGCGAGAGCCGCACACACTTCGCACCTGCAGCTTTTACTTCTGTGGACACAAGCCCACGGGGGCCTGCCACGCTGACCTGGCCCTGCCAGCCCCAGCTCTCACCACAGACCCCACAGGGAGCCTTCAGCTCCACAGCCCCACGTCCAGGCTGCGCTGTCCTAGGGGCAGTGCCAAGGCCTTGTGGGGTTCTGGCTGGACACAGATGAGCAGGGCTCCCAGCAGCGACTGGGGACGGGCACCACGGTTCCAACAGCCGTTCCTGACCCGGCCACACAGTGAGGCCCAGGCGTCGCGGGGCTGTGCTCCCAGGGCTCGGGCCCAGCCCTCGGCCCTCTTTCCCCTGGCAGGGATGGACGGTCAGGTCTCAGGGGCCCACGGGAGAGGGCGGTGGGAGGAGCTTGTCTCTGAGCCGCTCCAGGAGCAGCAGGGACTTCACGGCCAGCAGCCGGCAGTCCTCGTCCACATCTTTCTCGGCCACATCTGCGGAACGTGAAGACCGACATCAGCCCCAGCCGGCGCTGGCCTGCCTTGGCTTTCGTCTCACACGAGCACCTGCCAGGCTGAGCGTGCCCTCCACCTCGGCCTCACGCCCAGCAGCAACCTGGGGAGCACAGCTCGAGGAGAAGTGGCCCCGCAAGCTCCCCCAACCCCGCTGGACACGGGGCGAGTAGGGAGCTGGTGTTGCTCCCACCCCGCCAGGTGGCAGAGGCCGGGACATGCACGCGGCCTGGGATCTCCCCCAGCCCCGCTGGACACAGTGAGTAGGGAGCTGGTGCTGCTCCCACCCCGCCAGGTGGCAGAGGCAGGACCTGCACGCAGCCTGGGATCTCCCCCAGCCCCACTGGACACAGTGAGTAGGGAGCTGGTGCTGCTCCCACCCCGCCAGGTGGCGGAGGCCGGGACCTGCACACAGCCTGGGATCTCCCCCAGCCCCGGCTGCTCCTCTGCAGGCTGCACTGGGACCACCATGACCCCCAGGGGTGGTGTGTGCCGCACAGACATGGGCCAGGGTCCAGGATAGGGGCCCAGGGCGTCCGGCTACTGCCAGGACGAGGTTGGGAGGTCCTGGGGTCTGCAGCACAGCCCAGACTGTCCTGACACACGTGACACTTCTCAAAGCAGTCGGCACGGTCACGTTGTGGGGCACCAGGGACCAGAGCTGGCCTGCTGACAGAGCCCGGTCGGAGCAAACGGACAGCAGAAGCCCGTGCCTGGAGCAGCGGGGCTTCGGGGTCTGATGTGCTGTGTGGCGTCCCAGGGTGGTCATGGGGGTTCTTGTCCTTAGGTCCAGCGCCAGGTCTGCCACTGACCTCATGGCCAACACGTGCAGGGGGAGGGGCGGAAGTGGCAGAGACCACGTGGGTGAGCCTGTGTGGCCGCATAAGGTAGGCTGGGATTTTTCAGAGGGATAGACTCCCACGTGAGGCACCTTCTCTGGGGTCCCCTTCAGGAGAGCCACACCCAGTTCAGAAAGGCGGGTGCATGTGCAGGCTGTAGGACCACTCCACACACCAGGAGGCCTCCTGTCCACCTAGCTCCAGCCGCCGGGGCCCGAACACTCACCTGCCAGCCAGGACCTGGCCTCCAGCAGCTCGTCGGGCAGGTCCCCCAGCAGGCGCTCGGCAGGCACGCTCAGGAGGACCGAGGAGACAGCGGACAGCAGGCCCTGGCGCACAAAACTGCCGATGCAGACAGAAGGGGGAGGCGCAGGGTCAGCACCCCAGGCCAGGAGACCTCCACTTCCAAGTGTGGCCGGGACCCTGAGACCCCCAGCCCAGCATGCTGCTCCTCGGGAAGCGCCCAGCCACGCTGCCTCGGCTGCCTGAGCCTCCACGTGGCCGCCACTAGCGACGCTGCAGACCCCGCCCCAGCACCGCGTCCACTCCCGCCCCGCCCCAACACCACGTCCACTCCCGCCCCGCCCCCAACACCGCGTCCACTCCCACCCTGCCCCAACACCGCGTCCACTCCCGCCCTGCCGCAGCACCGCGTCCACTCCCGCCCTGCCCCCAACACCGCGTCCACTCCCGCCCTGCCCCCAACACCGCGTCCACTCCCGCCCCGCCCCAGCACCGCGTCCACTCCCGCCCGCCCCCAACACCGCGTCCACTCCCGCCCCGCCCCAACACCGCGTCCACTCCCGCCCCGCCCCAGCACCGCGTCCACTCCCGCCCGCCCCCAACACCGCGTCCACTCCCGCCCCGCCCCAGCACCGCGTCCACTCCCGCCCCGCCCCCAACACCGCGTCCACTCCCGCTCCGCCGCAGCACCGCGTCCACTCCCGCCCCGCCGCAGCACCGCGTCCACTCCCGCCCCGCCCCCAACACCGCGTCCACTCCCGCTCCGCCGCAGCACCGCGTCCACTCCTGCCCCGCCCCAACACCGCGTCCACTCCCGCCCCGCCCCAGCACCGCGTCCACTCCCGCCCCGCCCCCAACACCGCGTCCACTCCCGCTCCGCCGCAGCACCGCGTCCACTCCCACCCCGCCGCAGCACCGCGTCCACTCCTGCCCTGCCCCAACACCGCGTCCACTCCCACCCCGCCGCAGCACCAGGCCACTCACGGGTCGACGTGGAAGCGGAGGGCCCACACGAACTCCAGCAGGGCCTTGCCCATGGACACGGCCACCTGGCAACAGCAGAGAGGAGGTGGGCAGCTGCCGCCGTCCCTGCCCCGCCCCGCCCCAAGCAGGGGCTTGGCTGCCGACGGCAGGGTCAGAGAGAGGATACTCCCGCTGCGCCTGGGACATCACAGCACCCCAGACTCTTGTTCCGAGAGCCGAGGGGAGGCTGGGGAGCAGGCCCCAGGCACAGGGTGCTCCACGCCCATTGCAGGGCAGGTCCCAGGGCCCCCGGGCCTTTAGCCGCCGTCTCCCAACTCACTGTGGTATTAACAGCCAGGTACATCAGGGCCCCTAAGGTGTGGATCAGTCTTCCAAGAACCAGCTGGTCATCTCCCAAAAGGTCAAAGGTCACCAGGGGCCTAAAACCCAGAGTTGAGTGAGTGATGCATCCTGGCACCCCAGAGCTGCTCTCTCGGGCTACCCCACGCCCCCCCCAATGTCCCATGTGGCACTGGAAGAGCCACAGGACGGCGTTCCCGGGCTGCCCTGTTACCCCGCAGGGCCGCCCCAGCCCAGGTCGGCACAGGAAGCGGCGTCACAGTGTTGGCGGCCGCTCAGGGCAACACGTGGTGCACCGTAAACCCGACACCTGGGCCCAAGGTAACAGTGCCCACGGCCCTCACGACAAAGCTCAACCGGAAAATCCACGCCTTAACCCGAGCTTAGGGAACCACAGCGAAGGCCATCACCACGTTCGCGCCAAGCCCTGAGCTCACCCCCACCCTGGGCAGCCTCGGTCACTGAACAGGGCTCCTGTTCCAAGCCCACAGCCTCGGGAAACCCACTCACCTGTCAAAGTGTTGAATGAGGGGGAAGAAGAAGTGGCCGGCCACGGAGTTGAATTCATTGGGGCCACTGGCCAGCGCCCGCCGAGGACAGCCCTGCCAATACACGGTGCTCAGAGCCTCCCCGGCAGGTGAGGACGGGGCTCAGGCTGCCGGGCCCAGCCCAGGGTGGTCCTTCAGGTGGCACCAGCAGAGCCCCTCTGAGAGCTGGCCTGGACGGCCCAAGGACAGCGCCAGGCCATGTGTGCCCACTAGACGTCCTGGGACAGTGTCGCTTCCACGCACACCAGAGGAAGCTCGCCGCTCGTCCCAAAGTCCCCACGCCCGCCAGGACCTGACCGGGTGCCGGCTGACCTTGGAGAAGCGCCGGGTCTTGCTTCTGATGCGCTCCTCCACCAGCGCCCGCCAGTCAGGAGCCGCGGTGCTGCCAGGCTGGGCGGCAGCCAACGCCGGGGAGCCCTGCTGGCAAGTCCTCCCGGGGCGTCCCGGCCGAGACAGCTCCTGGGCGGCCAGAGTCAGCACCTGTGGAGAAGCACAGAGCAGGGCAGCCAGCGGCCCCCGCGAAGACCGGAAGTGCCAGCGGCCCCGCGGCCTGTGAGAAGCAGGTGCGGTCCACGGCACCACGTGTCTCAGAGCCACTGCGCCTCGCTGAGGGGCAGGCGGGGAGATGACGGCGCCAGGAAGGAGTGAGGCACCGACAGGCGCTGGACACCAGCCCGCAGCACGACGCCACCTACGTGAGGCGCCGGTGACAGACGGGTGGCGGACTGGGCGCCTCTGGGGTGATGGAGACACGGGTGGCCAGGAGGACTTGGAGTCCCTGAACTGCACCCCTGGAAGTGGCGAGGTCTTTTCCTACTAGAAGTATCCGTCGTGGTGAAGGAGGCATACAATGCGCCATTTTGCCTTTTTTCAGCCAGCAGCCGAGTGTCAGCGAGACATTCACATGGCTGTGCGCCCACCCCCCAAGCCCAGGCCAGAACTTCCCGCCTCCCCAGACTGAAGCTCTGCCCTCACCGACACCGACCGCCGTGCCGTCCCTGGGCCCAGCACCGTCTCTGGAACCAACAACAACTGCCATGCCAGCCCTGGGCCCGGCACCATCTGTCTCTGGAACCAACACCGACCGCCGTGCTGTCCCTGGTCCCAACACCAACCACAGTGCCGTCCCTGGGCCCGGCACCATGTCTGCAGCCAACACCGACTGCCATGCCATCCCTGGGCCCGGCACCGTCTATTTCTGGAAACAACACCAACCACCATTCCATCTCTGGGCCCAGCACTGTCTCTGGAGCCAACACCGACCACCGTGCCGGCCCCGGCCCCGGCCCCGTCTCTCTGGACTCCCCTGCTCTGGGAGCCTCCAGTAACCGACCCCCGGGCAGGCTGCCCTCGCGAGAGGCGTTGCACATCCCAGCTCCGTGGACGCTGTGCCGGGTGTCGACCCTGCTTGGCCGATATCCCACTGCATGGACAACGCTTATCCTAACACGGTGGATCCTGGGGTGTGTGACCGACACCAGCAAGGCTGTTGTGTGGAAGAAACGCACTTGGCCGCTGAGCGCCAACTCCTGACTTCCAGGGCACGCGCTCCTGCCACGCGTGAGGGAACCACGGACGGAGAAAAGCCCCAGCCCCGGTCTGCACGGGGAAGCGGGAGGCCGCGGTGACGGAGCACTTACGTCCAGGATATCCATGCGCTGCCGGAGGCTGTAGTTCAGGGCATAGAACTGCGCGGTCAGGTACTCGGCCACCTGGGTCAGGCGACGGAGAGGCCGCTGTCAGGTCCTGCCGCCCACCCAGGGGTGCAGGCTGCGGGTGCATCTGGGCAACCCCGCGGCTGCGCTGGGACTCACCCGGGCTGGGTCCGCGACCACGACGGCCACGAGGCCCCTCTGGCGCAGCCCCTCAAAGCCGGCCACGCACGTCCTGTCCTCCAGGTGCAGCAGTACCTTGGCCAGCTCCACGCTCACCTGCACACAGGCTCGGGGTCAGGCGCCTTCAGTCCCTGGCTCCCTGCCCGCTGGTGGGGCGAGCCAGGGACGCACTGAGCTGCTCCGTCCTCTGTGACCCAGGACGTAGACTCAGCCCCCGGGGGCTCCCCAGCCGCCCCTGCCCGCACTCACCTCCCGCGTGGCCTCGGGGCTCCTGCAGACCAGGCCCTCCAGGGCCCGCAGGGCTGCCTCCCAGCGCTCCACGTCCTCGGATGTGCTCAGCGCTGCACAGAGCCCACAGCCGTCAGTCAGCCTGCCAGCAGCAAGGGGCCGGGCCACATCTGCTCCCGGGACGCAAGGGGGACAGAGGCCGGGGACACCCAAGGCCCACCTTCCAGGCAGTCCCGGATGTACTGGGGCGCCTTGCCCCTCTGCAGCTCCTGGTCCCCCGACATGTCATAGGGGACAAGCTCGTCGTCACTGGAAGACACGGGCAGGGCCACGTCACCCACGGGAGGACCCAGGTGCCCCATCCTGAACACCGGGGCCAACTCTGCGTCCTCGGGAAAGGCCCGGAGTCCCAGCACACGCTTGCAGGCCAAGACGGAACTGGGGGCGAGGGGGCGGGCCCCCGGCCAGGCCAGCTCCAGCTCTGCACACGGGGCCACAGGCAGGTGCACCCCACCTGTCCAGCTCTGAGTCGGAGCCCTGCGGCCCTTCCTTGGGGACACTGCTGACCAGGGTCTCTGCAGCACGGTCCTCCGTCTCTGTGGGGGTCTCTTCGGCAACTGCAGTGAGGGGCAGCCTTGGAGGAGACAAGGAGAAACCCTCAGACGCTGGCGTGGCGCCCACCCACATCTCCGCCTGCCACCAGGGACCCAGGACCCAGAACAGCCAGGCACACACAGACTCGGGGCGGGGAACGGGCACACAGGACCTCACCCTGGCTCCGGGGAGCTGCCACCCGCAGGCCTGGGGGCAGCCAAGGCCAGCATCTCGCGGCTCAGTTCATCCTGGTCATACTACGAGTGCAGACACGCCAGAGTCGGCGACGCCAGGCCGTCTCTGCCATCTGTGCCGTCAGTGGCGAGGCAGCAGCAGCCAGAGCCGGGCCTTCCACGGCCGTCCCAGCCCCACCCCAGCTCGCTCAGCCGGACTGGCCTCTCCAGGAGCAGGCCGCTGGGTGTGCCGTGGGCCAGACACCCGCCTCCCCTGAGGAGGCTGGGAGGCCCTGGGACCTGGGCGGCTCAGCTGATGAGGCCACTGATGGGGCTCCTCCCCCACCCCTCACTGGACCTCGGCCACCCTGGGGGCACCTGTGCAGGTGCTTGGGCCAGACTTCCATGGCCCTCAAAGAACTGGGGTCACCAGTCACCCTGAGCCTCAGCCCTCGTGTGACCAGTATGGACGTGCTAGGGGCTGGGCCCTGGAAAAGGAGGCGACAGCCGGGCTGGAGAGACGGCTACTCAGGGAGCCCCCCCAGGACAGGCCCCGGGGCAGCCCCGCCCACTCACTTGGAATCTCAGGGGAGGCCCCTCGGGGTGGAGCCGGGAGCTGACGACCTCGGCCACAATCATGCCCAGGCGACGCACCGGGGGCAGGCTGCTGTCCAGGTGGCACTTCACGCCCGCCATCATGCTGGCCAGCAGCTCTGGAAGCACCGGACACGCGCCCTCAGTGCACAGGGCCCGGGCCACACAGCACGCACGGCCAGCGCTGGCCGAGGCGGGCCCGGCGCCTCCTGCTCACCGTCACGGCTGCCCTGCAGCTCCGGCTCGCCCAGGTGTGCCAGGCAGATGAGGATGGCCTTGCTGACGTAGCGCTGCTGTGCCAGTGGCGCGTGCCGGATGGCGCTGCTGCTGCCCCACGTCTCCAGTAGCTCCTTCAGTGCCTGGCGGGCACACGGCCTCGGCCTGGTCAGGCAGGGCTCCGCCGTGGCCCACGCCCAGAGACGCCCAGGGACGCCCAGGGACACCCCGGGACAGAGGGCAGGCTGAGTACCTGTACGAGGAGCGGGCGCCGCTGGACGTCCATGGCCAGGTACCCCAGCAGGCTCTGCAGCGTGCGCGTCTGCAAAGAGCGAGGAGCCTGCACCCCCAGGCGGCGACCGCCACCCTCCTGCCCCGGTCTCCGGGCACATCAGCGTGGGCCCCCTGTCCTGTTTAATGCCAGACACAGGGCCTCACCCGCTCCACCACCAGGGGCTGCTGGGCCGTCCCCGACCTGCCCCAGCGAGGGTCAGGTGAGCGGTGTGCGGGGTGTCAGTGCCACTTCCACCCTGGCCCCAACTGAGGCCCCCACAAGGGCGCCAGAGTGCGTCCTGTCCCTGGGATGCACCCAGCCTCAAGGCGCAGCAGGGCCTGAGCCGAGGCCAAATCCCACAGGGCACTGCCGTGCCGGGCCTCACCGAGTGCCGGTACTGCAGCAACAGCAGCTTCCGCGTCATCACGAACTGCGCTTTCCGGTGCCTCACCACCAGGTTCCCCAGCAGTCGCGCCAGGACCTCTGGCCTGCAGGCGGGCGAGGGGCTGGTCAGCCCGGGCAGAGCAGGGCTCCCACGCCCACGGCTCTGGGCTGCCAGGCCCTGCCAGGCGCCAGCTGGAGCCTCCAGGCAGTGCTGGTCCTCAGTCCTCCCGCAGGCCCGGGCCCTCGCTGAGCTAACGGAGAACACGAGGCGCGTCCGGCCTGCTCGCCTCTGCCACGGAGGACGGAAGCGTCCAGACACGTGAGCGAGTGGCGTGGCTGCAGGCCGGCGAGACTAACCCCGGGCCCGCAGACCGTGGTCTGAAGAACCCTGGCCTGGACTCGGGGCCCCTGCTCCCACCCCCCAGACCACCGCACTGGTGAGGAGCTGTGGCAAAGAAGGAAGGCCGGGAACCCCAGGAGAATCCGGTCGAGGAAGCGACCGCCCAGGTCAGAGGGAAGCGGACGGCGCACACCCACGCGCACACCCACCCGCGGCAGCAGCCTGCAGCCAGCGCGGAGGTGGCACTTCCTGGCATGGACACGGGACGCTAGGCCGGGAGCTGGCCTCATGGGTAAGAATTGGCCCAACCAGCACCCGCACACAAGGGACAAGCAACGGTGTCACAACCCCATGTCAGGCAAACCCAGACAGCCCCATGGCCGTGTGCGGGGGCTGGAGGGCCCCCGAGCCGCAGGTGAAGCGGGAGGGGCTCGCATGCCCACGTCCTCTGGGAGCTGCCCTCGGCCACAGCCTGCGGGCGAGTCAGGCTGCAGCATCTGCACCCCCTCTGTAAGAGGAGGGGGACCCCAGGCAGGGCCTCCAGCCCCCAGGCCGGCCAGGAAGCGCAGAGGCAGTCGCAGTCAGCCTGACCGTCCACACGGCCAGCCAGGGAGGGGCCGCCCTGCTCGCCGGGGCACCAGGAGAGCCGACCAGAGACCCCGCCACCCCCACCTCACGACCAGCACTGGGGCTGCTCACCCCGTCACGGCCTCCGCGAGTCCTGTCAGCGTGGCCTCCATGGCCCGGTCGGGCACTTGTTCCAGCAGGCGCCAGCACACTCGCTGCCACAGGCAGCTGCCCTGGGTGAGTGCCGTCAGCCGGGGCACCAGCACACCCAGGATCTCCTCTGAGGGGACACACGGAGGCCCTGAGCCTCGGGGACCGCGGGGGCACCGCAGGCCCAGGCCCAGCGTGGGCCGGCGCCTGGCACCACTGTGCACGTCTGGAAGCGGGCTCAGGAGGCGCTACTCACTCTGCCTTCCCTGGACGCAGACTTTCCCCAGGACTTGAGACGCGAAGCCGACAGCGCAGTCCAAGCCGGCTGTGGGGGGAGGAAGACCAGGTGTCCGGCGCAGGACAGCGCGGGGCCTCCCAGTACGAGGGGCCAAGTCCACCCCAGTGAGCTTCCTTGTGGAGTGCAGGCCTAGCAGGCCCCAGGCAGAATCTGAGTGGGGTCGGCTGTAACGTGAGGACCCGACAAGGACATGGAAACAGCTCTACGGCCAGCTCGCGGCACTGTCAGTGACCCTGGAGGCACCACCCAGGAGGGAGAGGGGCGTCAGCCCGCGGGGAGACACGGACCCCTGGTTGGCAAGGAGCTGTGGGAAACAAGGACGGGGCGGCTGTCCTGGACTGCCCAGAGGGGACCACAGCGCACAGGACCTGAAGAGGCCAGCGTCAAGGCCACCGTGCTCAGCCCCAGGCAAGCCTGGACACTCTCGGGCCCCCCCCCCCGAGGCTCCGAGACCAGACCCCAGCTGGGAGAAGCCCAGGGTGTGCAAATCCAGGGACAGATGGCCAGGGTGGGGTCCCCATGGGCTCTACCGGGGCGCTGGGCCTGGATGCCATGAGCCTAGGAGGGAAGTGGCAGGGGGCAGGCCGGGGGCGGGGCCCGTCCAGCCCATGGTGCTCAGTCCCGCAGCCCCAGGCCCCTGCTCGCTCGTGAAACACGACGGCCAGAGCCCCGTCTGCGGCACCGGGAGGACACAGCAGCTCCCGGCGCCCCTCCTCCGTGTGGAAAGCCCCTCCAGCCCCCCGCCTCCTACCCGAAGATCCTCAGGGCCCACCACGCAGCTGCCACACACAGTGGGGACCGCCAAACCACAGGTGCCGGGCCCTGAGCAGGCCCGTCGGCACCGCCTCCCTGCACGCCGGCCCCACCTCCAAGGTCCAAGAAGCAGACACAAGCTCCGCACGGGCAGGCTGCTGGGCCAGCCGGGGACGTGGCCCCAGCTGCCCGGCGGCACTGCCCAGACAGGCCGAGGCCCAGAGGCCCTCACCTCGCAGCGAGTCCACGACCGTCTGCAGCGCCCGGACGAGCTGCTCGCCGAGCAGGGCGAAGTAGTTCTGGGGCAGGAACTCGTCCAGCGTGTCCCGCTGCAGGCGGTTGGCCAGCTGGTCGGGCAGGCCCACCACCCTGACCAGCAGCGTCTCCTGGAACAGGCCGGGGCCCGGCTGCGCCTGCTGCCGACACTGCTCCTCCATCAGAGCCGCCAGCCTGCCCTGGCTCAGAAACGTCGCCAGCAGCTGTGCCGTCTTCATCAGCCGGGAGCTGGGGCTGAGTGACAGCAGGTGCAAAGGGTGGGGGGGGAATGGCGCTGAGTGACAGCAGGTGCCACGGCCCGGGGAGGGGGGGGCGGGGGCGGGGCTGTCGGACCCTAACTCACAGCCTGACAGCAGGACCCTGGAACCCCGCTGGGCAACCACAAGCCTGGGTGGGAGTGACCTCACTGCCCAGGCCGGCTGTCCCCAGGGCCGTCCCGCTAGTGTTTGCTCCCTGCACGCCACGACAGCTGTGGCACCCGGGTCTCCCACGTGGGGGGCAGGGACCCCAGTACTCCCAGCGTGTGCTTGAGCAGGAAGCTGGGGTCAGGTGGGGTCAGGGGCCAGAGCCAGGCGCGGAACCCAGGCAGGGCGCTGGGGGACCGGAGCCTGAGCACCCGCCGGACGCCGGAGGCTCACGGGAGCCGACTGGCCGCTCCGCCCCCCGCAGGGCCACCCGCGCCATCCGACCCCGCACTCCCACCGCTCACCCCGCAGCGCTCTCCACGCACTCCATCAGCGCCAGGAAGGCCTGACCGGCCGGGCCCTGCAGGAAGAAGCTGCGGCCCAGCTGCTCCAGCCGCGCGTTCGGCCCCGGCCAGCCCGCGCTCAGCTTGCCGGCCAGGTCCCGGAGCAGCGCGGCGAAGGGCGCCGTGGCCAGCTCCTGCCGCTCGCCGGCCCGCGCCGGGCTCCCCGCGTCGCCGACCAGGCGCTGCAGGGACTCCAGGGTGGCCAGCACGCGGCCGTCGTCCTCGGGCGACCGCAGGGCGTGCAGGGCCTCGCGCACGGCGAGCCGCACGTCGGGTCGCGCCGCATCCATCCTGCGGGCGGAGAAGGCGCGGGGTCGAGGCCGCCCGCATTCAGGGGTCGGCCTCGGCCCTCCCGCCACGGCGGGGCTCGGCTCGACCACCGCACCGCGACCCCGACCCCGACCCCGACCCGGCCCCCGACCCACACCTGGCTCCGCGCGCCGGACGCTTCGCTACCCCCGAGGCGGCTCCGGCCGGCGCTCGCTCAAGGCCGACCGGGAGCCAACGGGCAGGAGCCCCTGGGCGCCGGCAGAGCGGCCGCGGGTTTGGGGGCGCCTTTGGGGTCGGTCCCCGCAGGGCTCGTGGCGAATCAGCGGAGAGCGCCGCTGGTGCCGCTCGTGCGCTTGCGCAGAAAAGCGGCCGCGGGCCCACGCTGGGGGCGGGCTCTTGCGTGAGGGGCGGGGCCGGTGTGGGCGGGGCCATGCCTGGGGGCGGGCTTTGCGCTTCGACCTGCGCCCGCCCTGGCCGCTGCGCTGGAGAGCGGTGCCCGTCAGCGGGACGGCCGCAGACGCTGAGTGCGGTGGAGCGTTTAGGTAGCAAGTGAGATTGTGACAATAAAAGCTCAAGGCCAGGCCTGCTGGCGTTGGGGGTGGACGGCAGCCGAAGGTGGCCCAAGTCCCCGGGCCCCTGCGCCCACCTGGGAGACCTGGGTGGAGCTCCTGGGCCAGCCCTGGGCATCTGGGGAGTGGACAAGCGGCTGGAAGCGCTCTCTCCTTCCCTCTCTTCCTTCCTCACTCTGCCTTTCAAATCAATTTTAAAGAACCAGTTTGCTGCCTTTGTCACACTGGTCTCGTCTCGGGGAAGCGGCTGCTGTGTGGTTCCCGGCTTGGCGGCGGCGGTGCCACTTCCCCACCACCACCACCACCAGCTGCTGCCTGTACCGGGCCGGCCCCGAGCCTCCCCCCTTCTCTCTCACTGGCTGTGCGGGGCGACCTCAGCTCCAGATCTCACACCTGCCAGGACACTTTTCCACCCGGGGTCACACACAGGTGCTGGGGTCAGGCCTGCTTCTCAGGAAGCTCTGTCCTATCTGCTTTATCCACTGATCAGGGCTCCCCCCGCCCCCATCAAGGGAAGGAGACACGGCCGGGAGGCGGCTGTGCTGGGCACCCCGTCCAGCTTCCTGGTCCTGCTAAAGCCATCAGATGTCCCACGTGCCCGGAGCCGGCGCCCCCAGGAGGCTTCCGAGACACTGTTTGTGTCTGTTTCGAGCTGTCTCCTTGGGAACCTGCACTGCCGGGGCCCAGAGCCTGGAGGAGACGCCTTCCTCCAGGGAGGCTGGAAGCCCCTGACCCCGCCAGGGCCGCACAAGGAGGAGCGCTCAGCGGCGGAGCCGGCCGGGGCTGCGAGCTCCCGGGATGGGCTGCTTGGGGAGCGCCGCCCTGTCTGTCCTCGTGTTTGTGCCCCTCTGTCTGTGCGGGGCTTCGGCACAGGACGCCGGCCCTGCCGGGCCAAGAAGGCCGTTTCTCGAGAGGCTGCGAAGACTGGAAGAGCAGGTAAACCACAGGCCGTGCCGGGCGGGTGCCGGGCGCACACAGACGTTTGAGAAGTTTTCCGGGCTCTGCCCTGACAGCTGATGCCTGAGGCGGAGGTGGGGGGCGCAGCTGGAGTGGGGGGAGGCTGTGGCCGGCCTCCAGGGCTGCCGCGGGGGTGCACGGTGGAGGAGCGCTTCCTGATTTAACCCCGTAACAGCTCACAAAGCCATCCTGAAGCGACAGGGGGTGGCCCAGAGCAGGGGGGGGGACGGGAGCCCACTCCCCCCACTCTGCCCCTGCAGCGGTGAGCCCCCCTCAGCTCCGGCTGAACCAGCCCCAGTAGGAGCAGGAACGCCTCCCCCGCTCCGCTCTGGCCCCCAGCCCCACACCTGCTGTCCGTCTTCACAGTTCCGGAGACTCCAGGAAGTGACGCTGGTGCACCTGCAGGCCATCGCCGACAGCTACAACGCGTCCGTGGGCGTGCACGCCCGGCTCCAGGGCCTGGCTGCGGAGAGCCGGGCCGCGGCTCTGGCACTCAACCAGTCACAGGCTGCCGTGCAGGGGGACCTGGCGCAGCTGCAGGCCTGGGCGAGGAAGGCGCAGCGCAGGAGCAGGAGGGTGGGGGCGCGGCTGCGGGCCCTGGCCCTGGCCCTGAGCGAGAAGAGTGCGCGGCGCTCCCAGGAGGAGAAGCAGCACCAGGCACAGAGGGATGCCGTCTCGGGCCTGGGCCTGGACGTGCGGGCCCTGCAGGACGCACTGGCCCGCCTGACACTCCACGTCCATGGCCAGGATGCCAGGCTGGCTGCCCTTGAAGGGCGGCAACCTACGGCCAAGCCCGGCACCACAGCCCCCAGGCTGACCCCAACCCCAGCCCGGGCACCACCTGCGCAGTCAGGCCCGAGCCCCCTGCAGCTGCAGGGCCACAGGCAGGGTCCTGGGGCTTCTCCTGGATCCAGGAGCCCTGCTCAGGACTTGAGTGCTGGTCTCCAGCGGACACGGGAGCCCCCCGCCCCAGGCAGTCATCAGGTGCTCACTGGGGCTGCCATCACTCAGAGGGACCCTCCTCCGTGGGCGCCGACCCCCCAGGGGCCAGGAGAGGGTAAGTGCCACAGGTCAGCCCCATCCATTCCCGTTTCCCTTCTGCTGTGTGTGTGTGTGTGTGTGTGTGTGTTTTAAGCTGTATTAATGTTTTTGAAAGTCGGAGGTGCAGACAGAGAAAGGTCTTCCATCTGTTGGTTCACCCCCAGATGGCCACAACAGCTACGGCTGGGCCAGGCTGAAGCCAGGAGCCAGGAGCTTCAATCCGGGTCTCCCACACGGGTGCAGGGGCCCAAGCACTTGGACCGTCCTCTGTTGCTTCTCCCAGGCCATAGCAGGGAGCTGGACTGGAAGTGGAACAGCCCGGATGGGATGCCCAGCGTCGCAGGGGGCGGTTTCACCCCTGCACCACGGTGCCAGCCCCCCGTGTTTTCCTCCAAAGGCATCCTTGCCAGGGGTTGAGTGGACAGGGCTTGGCTTCGTGTGCCACGTACGCTGCTGGCCACACCTGCCAGCGGGTACAGGTGGCAGTGGTCGGCAGGTCCCCATGGCAGCAGGGCGGCCCGGGTAACCAAGGCATCAGGCGTCCTCACCCCACATGGGAGCACCCGGGCTCCTCCTGCTAACGCGCACCCTGGGAGGCCGCAGGGGGCCGGGCCGCTGACTGGGGCTTGGCCACACAAGGGAGGGACTTCCTGCCCCCGGCTTCAGCTCCAGCCAGGGCTCACTGTGGCCTTTGTGGAGTGAGCCAGTGGGTAGGAGGTCCCTCTGCCTGCCTCTCAAGTGAAAAACAAAACAGAACGAGGAGGGGGCTGAGGAAGCCGCCCGCCCTTAGAAGGTGGGAGGAGCGGGACCGGCTTTGCCCTGCCCCCGGGGTCAGCCCTGCAGCTCCTTGATCGGAGTCCGGGACCCGCGTCGGACTCTGAGCCTCCGTGGGAAACTCCCAGAGGCCCCTGGGGCAGTGGGCAGGGGGCGCCCATGGTGCTCACCCCACCTCTCCCCAGGCGCTGCCTCGGCCTCAGCGTCCCACTCTGGGACTTGGGGGGGGGACCCTGCAAGCCACACCCCAGCACTCAGCCCAGGGCTGTGCCGGTGTCGGGCCCGCCCTCCTGCAGCAGCCCCCTGCTTCCGGAAGCTTCCGGGCTGACTGTGGCTCCCGCTTTTTCTAGCTTGCGGCCTGGGCCCTGTGCTGGTTTTCCCCAACGCCTCCACGGAGAACGTGGCCTTCCTCGGGCTGGGCCTCCCTGTGGCCCTGCGGGCCCTGTCCTTCTGCAGCTGGCTGCGCACGGCCCCCGGCCGCCTGGGCACCCTCCTCTCCTACGCCACCGAGGACAACGACAACAAGCTGGTGCTGCACGGCCGAGACTCCCTGGCTCCGGGCACCGTCCACTTCGTGATCGGTGACCCGGCCTTCAGGGAGCTGCCCCTGCAGTCACTGCTGGACGGCCGCTGGCACCACGTCTGCGTCATCTGGACGTCCCTCCAGGGCAGGTACTGGCTCCACGTGGACCGCAGGCTGGTGGCCGCGGGCTCCCGCTTCAGGGAGGGCTATGAGATCCCTCCCGGGGGGTCGCTGGTGCTGGGCCAGGAGCAAGACCGTGTGGGCGGCGGTTTTGACAGCTCCGAGGCCTTTGTGGGGAGTATGTCAGGCTTGGCCGTCTGGGACCGGGCCCTGGTCCCTCGGGAAGTCACAAACCTCGCCACAGGGAAAGAGATGCCAACAGGCGCCATCCTGACGCTGGCCAACGCGTCCGCAGGTGGATTTGTGCAGAGGGTCGGCTGCACCTGCCCGGGGAGCTGCTCGTGAGGCCGAGCCGGGCAGGCCCTGCGGTCAAGGGGAGCCCCCCCAGCACATCCTGTACGTCCCCCCACCCCCGTCCTCCTGTGCCACTGTGCGAGGCAGCCACTCCATGATGGGGGATGGGCACGGGCAGGTGAGGCCCTCCGGCAAACTCGGGCGCCCGGCAGGAGCAGGCCTGCGGTGTTGGCACACGCTGCCCCTCAAAGCCTTGGTGCCCCCTCGGAGCGCCGAGTGTTCCCCACAGAGGGCCAGGTAGCCACCCCCACAGGGCCCCTGGCCTTGGCGTGCGGCTGCAGCCTTGGCCGCTGCCTGGGTCCGGGCCGGATTCTGGGGAGAGACTGCACGGAGAGCATCCAAGCCCCCGCTGTTTCCTCCTGGGCCATCGTGGGCCGCAGAGCCCACTTCCTGGCCCTTGGAGCGGCAGCTCCGGGTGCCCAAGGCCAGCTGCCCAGTGCTGCACCTGCAGGGCCCGCATCCCACATGGGCGGCGGCTGAAGTCCCGGCTGCTCCTCCTCCAGTCCAGCTCTCTGCTGTGGCCTGGGAAAGCAGCGGAAGATGACCCAAGTCCTCGGGGGACCTGGAGGAAGCTCCTGGCTCCTGGCTTTGGCCTGGCCCAGCCCCGGCCGTTGCGGCCATTTGGGGAGTGAACCAGCAGATGGAAGACCTCTCTCCCTGTAACTTTCAAATCTTTTAAAATGATCACATCTTAAAAATAAAAAAACAAATTTCAGAAAGCAGAGTGGGGAGTCCAGGCCTGGCGCCCACAGAAGCCCAGGGGCCAGAGACCCTCTGCCAGGTGCAGCCGATTGAACCATGGCGAGTGGCCACCCTGGCCCAGAGCCGGCAGCGGCCAGACGGAGCACAGGGGGCCTGAGTCTCCAGGCAGCACCTCCGGGGGCTCTGCTGCCCCCACCCTGCAGCTTAAGGTCAGCGTGTCCACCTACTCAGGAGTGGACTCCCCGAAGGTACTCAAGAGGTGCAAACGGCCCGGGGGTGGTGGGCACCTTACAGTGCCAAGGGGTGGGTGAGGGTCGCCCAGACGTCCCAGCAGCCACAGCGCTGCCGGCCAGGCATCCACTGCGTCCTAGGCTCGCGATTCTGGCAGACATAGGGCAGGGTCGCCCCAGGAGGGCCGGGCGCTGGGCAAGGGCCCCGGGTGTGGTCATCAGTGTCCCAGCGGCGCCCCGCCCCGCGTGGGTCCGCGGGGTCTGGGATGGGCGGACGCTGGGAAGCCGTCCACGTCCCCCCCACCCGGGTCCGCGGCAGCTGCCCACGCGCGCTGGAGCTGGACGGCGCCTCTCGGGTCACCAAGGCCCACCTGCGCCCTGCGTCCCTGACGGATCTGGGTCAGAGCGGAGCCTCCCAGAGGGGCCGTGCCTGCGGCGGGGGTCGGTCCCGCCGCGCCCACCCTCAGCCCTGTGTTTGAAACAGTCACGTGACCACGGAAGACGACTCGGCCCTGCTCTGACGGAGGCGACCTCTGGGACCCGGCTGCCCCCAGGGGTCGTCCCCGCGTCAGCTCGACCCTCGGGCCCCTCGCCACGAACCGCGGGCCTCGTCCCCCACAAACCCCGCTCAACCGCCTAACCCGGTCCACTCGGCCACGCCCACTCGGGGGTGCCCCGCCCCCAGCGGTGCAGCTCTGACGGGAGGCCACGCCCACTCTGAGTGCTCCGGCGGCTGAGGCCACGCCCACTCGGGGGTGCCCCGCCCCAGCCCCGCCGCTCTGATGGGAGGCCACGCCCACTCTGAGTGCTCCGGCGCGGAGGCCACGCCCACTCTCCATGCTCCGCCTCCAGCTCCGCCGCTCTGACGGGAGCCCACGGCCACTCGAGCGCTGGACCCCGGGCCCGGCCTCCCGGGAGCCTGCAGAGCCGCCTGCCCCGCTGGTAGGAGCGGGTGTGGCTGTGCCCGCCGGGGCCTGCAGAGGCCAGCGCGCTGCTCCCACGGACGCAGTGGGGTGCCGGGCGGGGGTCGCGCGCGCGTGCCACAGCCCCGAGGGCCCCACCGGCCCCGCCGTGAGGGAGCGCTGCCCCGGAAGCCTCTGCCCGGCCTCGGGCTCGGTTTTGAGTCTTACCCGGGTCAGAGGGTCCTCGGCCTCAGCGGCTCACGGGAACAAGGGGTATTTATTTATTTGAAACCAGACTTAGAGGGCTCGTCCATCGGCTGGCTCACACCATAGATGGCCACAGCGGCCAGCACCAAGCCAGGCAGAAAGCGGGGGCTCCATCCGGGCCTTCCGGGGGTGCTGGGGCCCAATCGCTGGCCGTCCGGCTCCCCGCTCTCCCGGGCACGTTGGCAGGGCGCTGGACCGGGAGTGGAGCAGGGGATTTGGTAGCTCAGCCCACCGCGCCACAAAGCCAGCCGCTGGCTTTACGCACCCGTGCCTCCGCCAGTCCCCGCCGCCAGTGTCCACGTCGCAGCCCGGAGCCCAGAACTCCATCCTGTTCTGGGCGGCAGGGACCCCAGCCTCGGCCACCACCCTGCCTCCCAGCAGGCGTCGGCAGGAAGCTGGGTGGACCTGGGACTGGGCCTGGCTGCCCAGCGTGGGGTGCGGCTCTCGGCCACCGGCCTCTGCCGCGTCTTCCCGCGCTGTCTGGACTGGGTGTCGCGGCTGCTGCGTGGTCCTGACTCCTGCCATCTTCCTCCAAACGCGGGGACCGACCTGCCGGCGCCGAGCTGGGTCTTCCCAACTGATAGACGGCTCCCAGCACGTGGTGCCGCGGGCTGAGCGCGGAGCGCACTTGGTCCCGGGTACGCCCACGTCACAGGGCGGGCACACCTCTCTTGCCCTCACACTCTCGGCCTTGAGCTGGAACTTGCGAAGCCCCCTCCTGGCAAGGTCACTTCCCAACACGCAGCCCGGGGGCCTGGGACAAGCGTTTGCCCACAGAGCCTGGCCCAGATACTTGTCTCTGGGTCCTTTTTCTGCTTTTTAAAAATTGCATTTATTTGAAAGGCAGGGTTAAAGCAAGACCTTTGACCCGCTGGTTCTCCCCCAGATGGCCCAGGGAGCCGAGCGAGGCCGCCTTCACGTTTTTCCCTGCAAACCCTGACTCGGGGCGTTAGCGTGTCAGGGATAAAGCAGGTCCTGGGCGTCCTCCATGCGGCCACAGATAGGGGGTCACAGATATGGGGGCCACAGATGGGGGGTCTAAGGGAAGGCACGCGCTGGCAGGAGACCTGCGTGTGGGAGACACCTGGCTTCTGCGCTCTGCCCGTAGCCAGGGCTGAAGTGGCTGCACGGCCTCCCCTTGGGGTCACCCAGGGCCAGCGGGCGGCCAGAGCACCTGGCTTTCCTTCGGCACAGAAGCGCTCTGGGGCGGGAGGGTCTCCTGCGACCCAAGCGTCGTGGCCGCGTTTTTTATGTTTATTTACTTGGGGGGGGCGGAACCTCCATCCGCTGGGTCACTCCCATCTGGGCCCGGCCAAGTCCGGAGCCGGAGCTGCGTCCCGGTCTCCCAGGTGGCCCATCAGCTGCCAGGGCAGATGCACTCCCAGGGCCCTGCACCGGGCGCCGCGCACACGGGGCTGCCAGGGTGGGCTGCAGCGTGACCCCGAGTGCCCCTCTCCGGCCGCGCCCGAACCAGCTCGGTGCAGCCGGGCTCCACCCGCGCCTCCGCGGGCCCGGGCGGCATCCACCGCCAGGAAGAGCCCCCGCACCGCGCGTGCGGGGAGCCGGGCTCCGGGGCGCTCGGCAGACGCGTGAGGCTCGCGGAGCTCCCGGGATCCCAGACGACCCCGCGCGGCCTGGCCCTCGGCGGCCGCCGTCGCTCACCACGAGCCGGCAGCGGGGTCACGTGATCTCGCTTCCCTCTCTCGTCACGTGGCTGCCGGCGCCGGGTCACGAGGACAAGCCCGGGGCCCAGGGATCTGCCCGGCCGGAGTCATCCCGCGGGCTGGCCATGGCCAACGTCTCCAAGAAGGTGTCGTGGTCCGGCCGCGACCGGGACGACGAGGAGGCGGCGCCGCTGCTGCGGAGGACGGCGCGGGCCGGCGAGGGGACGCCGCTGCTGAACGGGGCCGGGCCGGCTGCCGCGCGCCAGGTGAGGCCGTGGCGGGCCCGCGGAGGACGAGGGGCGCGGGGCGGCCCGGGGGCGGTGGGCGGCCCGCGGAGGACGGGGGGCGCGGGGCGGCCCGGGGGCGGTGGGCGGCCGGAGGAGGACGAGGGGCGCGGGGCGGCCGGAGGAGGACGAGGGGCGCGGGGCGGCCCGGGGGCGGCGGCCGGAGGAGGACGAGGGGCGCGGGGACGGGGCGCGGGGACGGCCGGGGGGCGGTGGGCGGCCGGAGGAGGACGAGGGGCGCGGGGCGGCCCGCGGAGGACGAGGGGCGCGGGGACGGGGCGCGGGGACGGCCGGGGGTGGGGGCGGCTCCGAGTCCGGCGCCCCTCCAGGAGCTGTCGCGCACTTCTGCCCCAGTGCGGGCCCTGAAAATGGTGAGACCGCGTGTGGCCTCCTTCCTTGTCTGGGACCCCGGAGGACGGTCGCGGTGGCGGTGGCAGCTCGCTCGGGGCGGGCGAGGCCGGGGCTCTGCCTGTCAGTCCTCTGCGCGGCCAGGGTGGGCTCGGGCGGCCTCACTGCCGTGGGGGCGCCGCTGGTGCACCTGCCGTCGGGTGGGGCGATGACGGGGGCATTTACCTCCTGGCCGTGGGTCTTCCTCTGCTTCGCCGGGTTTGAAGATCGGGACGTTCCCGTGCCTGGGGGCCGCCCGGAGGAGTGAAGCGGGCCTGTGTCCTGCGGGGTGACCTGAAGTGACCCCCTTGGAAGTGGATGGGCTGTGGGCGGTGGCTTCCTCCCTGCCGAGTTTCTGTTTCTTTTCTCTGAAAAGAAAGCAGATAGGAGGGACTTGGCTGTGAGGCCCGGCCGGGAGCGGGGGAGCTGCCTGGGTTCTGTGGATTCACAGGGGGCTTGTGTGGGGGGGAGACCTGTTGACTCTCCCCTGGAGCCCATTGCTAGCTGGGTGTTGGTGCTGAGTGCAGGCGCTCAGCCGGCTGGCCATCGCGGTAAGGGCACTGTGCACCTGCTGTCTGGCCAGCGCCCCGCAGCTTTCCTGAGGACGCGCAGGTGCGTGGAGCGGCTCCCCCCATGGTGGGGGGCGTGAGCCCCACGGCAGGGAGGTCCTGCCGTAGTTGGGGTGCACCGTGGGGCGGGCAGGTGGGCCTGCTGGGCACAGGGGCTGCCTTTCGCTTTGTCATCTCGCAGCCCCCAGCGGTCCTGGAGGGAGACCTGTCAGGCCTGGGCGCGCCTGTGCCTCCCTTCCCGCATCGAGAGAAAAGCTGGCTTAGCGGCGGCTCCGGCAGCACCCGCGGCCGTCACGAGGCTCTTGGTGCCGGTCGTTCCCGGCCGCGTCAGAAACGGCAGCAGGCAGGTGACTCACCGCCGGCGCCTGCCATTCGCCGCTGACTGCGCCGGCAGCTGACGGCCACCTGTTTTTTATCTGAGAGGCACAGTGACTGCAGGGGAGGGAGAGACAGAAAGATCTTCCATCCGCTGGTTCACCCCCCCCCACGGCCAAGCAGCCAGGGCTGGGCCAGGCTCCGTCCTGCCCTGCCACGTGGGTGCCGGGCCCCAAGCCCTCGGGCTGTCCTCTCTGCCTTCCCGGGCACCTAGGGAGCAGAGCTGGGACCGGAACTACGCCCCAGGGTGGGACACGGTGCTGCCGCAGCCCCGTGGGGGAGGGGCTGGGCAGAGCACAGGGGCGCCCAGTGGTCAGCTGCTTTCTCGAGCGCCACTTCGAACCGGAACACAGCCCCGCTGACAGGCGCCTTGTGCGTGTGCAGGCTGCGGTGAGCCGAGCGAGCGCTCCTGCCTGGCTGCCTCCTGGCCCCCAGGCTTCACCGCAGGAGCTGCAGAGTTGCCCCGTGGCATGGGCACGCCGGCCTGGTGGGCGCCAGCGGGGCAGCGTGGGCCCCAGGCCGCTCCCAGCTTGCCGAGCGTGGGCGCCTGAGTGACCACGCAGGTCACTCGCTGCCTGTCTGGCGCCGGGTAGGGGAGAGCGTGAGGTCAGCCAGCAGTCACGGTCATGTGTTGGGCAGGGGGAAGTGGACTCAAGGTCGCCTGGTGTGCACAGGTCCCGTGTTCCCCCCCTCGCAGCGCCCCCCAGTGGCTCCATCTTGAGCTGCTGCAGCACCGCCCCAGACCTGGGGGCTGTGCCCTGCCGGTGGGCTCACACCTCCTCCTCTGAAGCCCCCCAGCCCCCCAGCCCTGCCTGGAGGTGCAGGGCATGGCTGGGGTCCTTGAGACAAACGGCCTGTGCATCAGCCTTGTGTGGAGCAAGTCTGTAACTAAGTCGCATTTAAGGAAGAAAGACCGTGAAGGGGCTTTTCTGTGGCCAAAGCCGCTTCCTGAAGGCCCTGGGGGAGGCCCGCCTGTCCCCGCCCCCGGGCCGAGGCTGTGGCCGGGTGCTCGGGCTTTTGCATTTGTGGTCGGGCCTCCGCCCACCCTCCACGTCTCGTCTCGCCGGAGCCTGTGAGCAGTGCTGCCCGTGCCCAGACCCGTCCAGGCCCCTGTGCCTCTCTGTGGTCAGCGAAGCCGCAGAGATGGCCCAGGCAGAGCTCTGGAGTCCCACGGGGAGCCATGGGGTGGTGTTAGCCTGTTGCTTGTCTGTCGGCACAAGTGGGATAAAGGAGCCACTCGCCTCCCATATCGGGCTGTGGGCGCCCTCCCAGCCCCGCCGCCGTGCGCAGCCGCCTGCTGGTGCCCACTCTGGGAGGCCGCGGGTGGTGGCTCAGGTACTGGGCCCCTGCCCTGCACATGGGAGACCTGGATGGAGCTCCTGGCTCCTGGCTTCCACCCGGCCCAGTCCACCTCACGGGGCTGTTGTGGACTTTGGGGAGTGAACCAGCCCATGGGAGATCTGGGGATAAAGCCACTGGCCGGCCTGCTGCCCGTCCCACCCAGGCCAGGCTGCGTCTCCCTCAGCTCTGCGCGGCGGCCCACTGCGTCGTCCTGTGCCCGACTGCCTGGCTGCCCGGGGCCTGTGGAGCACGCCCTGAGGAAGCGACCGGCCTCGGGGTGCTGGTCACACTCGGCCAGGGTGTCCTTCCTGTGCCAGCGCCATGGCCGGCAGGATCGTGCCGGGAGGGGGGTCTGGGGGTGTGCCCGTCACGGCTGAGGGAGGAGCAGGTGAGCTGCCGTGGTGTCAGCGTCCCGACCCCGGGGTCTCTGCTGGGACGCAGGCGAGCTCACCTGGGTGAGGGCAGGCGGAACCGAGGGAGCCTGGGAGCTGGAGGGCGGGAGGCGCGTGGCCCCGCCCACGCCCAGGCCTCGGGCTTCTGGCCACAGAGAGCGGGGGAACGGGAACTCTGTTGTTTCAGTCCGCCTGGTGTGGCACAGGGTCACTGCAGCCCCGGGAGGCCAGGCCCTCGCCAGTGCCGCAGGGGCCCTGTTCACGCCAGGCCCTCCGCTCCTGGCTTCAGACCCCCGGAGGAGTCGTTCCTGTGTCCCTGCAGTGTCTGCACTGTCGCTGTGTCCGCCTGGTTCGGCTGACGCAGGCGTGACCGATGCCCTGCGTCCGCTTCCTGTCCCGGTGGCCCAGCTGTTGCTGGCAGCGGCTTCTCTGCTCATCCTGCCACGCGGGGCCAGGGAGTGCGGCTCGTCCGCCCGCCCCTTCCTCCTGGCGTGACCGTGGTGGGGGCCCTGCAGGCGCGCCCCCTCAGAAGAGCCAGGTGGGCTTGTTGAGAGCTGAGGTCGCTTCCCTGTGGAGCAGCCTGTGTGACCCAGAGGCCTGGCGGTGGCTCCGTGCTGGATCCACAGTGCCGATCGGCACTTCACAGGAAGCCAGGCCGCGTCCCCGGGGCCTCCTTGCCGCTGAGCTCCACTCCACTTAGGTACTGACTTTTTTTTTTTTTTTTTTTTTTTGACAGGCAGAGTGGACAGTGAGAGAGAGAGAGACAGAGAGAAAGGTCTTCCTTTGCCGTTGGTTCACCCTCCAATGGCCACCGCGGCCAGCGCGCTGCAGCCGGTGCACCGTGCTGATCCGAAGGCAGGAGCCAGGTGCTTCTCCTGGTCTCCCACGCGGGTGCAGGGCCCAAGCACTTGGGCCATCCTCCACTGCACTCCCGGGCCACAGCAGAGAGCTGGCCTGGAAGAGGGGCAACCGGGACAGAATCCGGCGCCCCGACCGAGACTAGAACCCGGTGTGCCGGCGCCGCAAGGCGGAGAATTAGCCTAGTGAGCTGCGGTGCCAGCCAGGTACTGACTTAAAGATTTATTGTTTCAGGCGCCATGGCTCACTAGGCTAATCCTTTGCCTGCAGCGCCGGCACCCCAGGTTCTAGCCCCGGTCGGGGCGCCGAATTCTGTCCCGGTTGCCCCTCTTCCAGGCCAGCTCTCTGCTGTGGCCAGGGAGTGCAGTGGAGGATGGCCCAGGTGCTTGGGCCCCTGCACCCGCGTGGGAGACCAGGAGAAGTACCTGGCTCCTGGCTTCAGATCAGTGCAGTGCCCCGGCCGTGGCGGCCACCTGGGGGGTGAACCAACGGGAAAAAAAGGGAGAAAAAAGGAAGACCTTTCTCTCTGTCTCTCTCTCTCTCATTGTCTAACTTTGCCTGTCAAAAAATATATATTGTTTCACTTATTTGAAAGGCAGTGTTACAGAGAGAGGGAGATCTTCCATCGGCTGGTTCACTCCGCAGGCGGCCGGGCCGAACCAGGAGCCTGTGTCTCCCGCGTGGGGGGAGCCCAGGGACTCGGGCCGTCCTCAGCTGCTTGCCCAGGTGCATCAGCAGGGAGCTGGCTCGGGAGCGGAGCCGCCGGGGCTTAAACCGGTGCTCCAGTGTGGGCTGCCGGCGATAGGCGGTGGCCTGACCCGTGGGCCGCGGCCTGGAGCTCAGGAGCCGCCGCGCCAGACCAGCCGCTGGGGCCCTCTCCGGTGACAGACCCGGGCCTGCCGATGCTCCCTCCGCCCACCGGGTAGGAGCAGGCACACGCGGTACACAGACGGGTGGACGTGGCCTAGGAGAGCTCCCCGAGCCGCTTCTCGTCCTGCCTGCTACCCTGCATTGCAGAGGGGCGTTAACCAAATGGAGCCTTGGGGTGTGGCCAGCGGGCACCTCCCGCATGCGGCTGTAAGAGGGGTGAGGGGCGCACACCTCTGTGCACGAGGGCGCGTTCAGCCGGGTCCCTGCGGCACCCTCACACCTCGTCCCCGAGCCTGGCCTCCTGCCCGATCCTTGGCGTCTCTCCTGCTGAAGGTCCGAGGCGGGGCAGGTGAGGCCCTGTGCCTGGCAGGTGCCTGTGAGTCTGTCTGCTCTCTGCTCCTGGCGGGGGCGGGGCTGGCTTCTAGAAGGCGTCCTGGGACACCCCACCCAGACCCCCTCTGACCACGTGTCTGTGAGGGCCAGAGCTGCCCGGTCTGGGGTCCACAGTGGTTTCTGTCCTGGGATGATGGGACACCCGGAGAAAGAGAGCTCACAGCTGGGGACCAGGGCCAAAGCCCCGCAGGGGAGGCCTGGCCACCTGGGCTCCCTGGGGTCCAGCGTGCTGGGCTGGGAAGGTCAAGTTCTAGAAGCAGTTCAGGGACCATGTGTTCCGGAGGCAGACCCCTCCCACCCCTGGCTGGCCAGGTCCTGCCCCACCCTGGCTGACTGGGCCTCACTTGTGTCATCGGGAACCCTGCCTGCCTGCAGGGAGTGCTCAGGCCCCCAACTCCTGCTGACAGTGCTGTCGCTGAGTGCCCCGACTCCTGCCGCCTCTTCTCTGCTGGGCCCACTGCTAGTCACGCGAGTGCAGGGTGCCCCCGCGGTGGCTCTGCTCGGCCCAGGCACTTGCCCCGGTTGCCCTCCCCCCTCCCCACGTTTGCCGACATCCAGGAACGCGCTGACGTCCAGGAACGCGCTGACGTCGGGGAGGGCGAGCGGGGCCCGGGCTCCCTGCTTCAGACGAGAGTCAAGGCACGAGCCCTGACCGAGAGGCGGCCGCGGGGGTGGTCTCCAGCCCCTCGTCCTGGTGCTGGCAGGGTCTGTCTCATCCGGAACTTGATGGGGGAGGGGTGTGGGGTCCCCCACCGGGACCCTGGGGTGACTGCAGCAGCCCTGGCCCTGCGCCGGTGCCTGCTCCCAGCACCAGGTCAGCGCTGCCACTGCCCGTGCTCACGAGCTCTCTCCGCCTGCAGCCGCCTCGCCCTGCCGTGTTCCGGGTTGGACAGATGAGCAGCGTGGAGCTGGACGAAGAGCTTCTGGACCCGGTGAGCGGTGGCCTCGGCCGGGCGGTGGCCCCGCAGACGGAGCCCAGGGCGGGGCGGGGCGCAGCCTTGGGGAGTAAAGGGGCGGGGTGTCCCTGACCCCTGGAAACCCCGGAGAGAAACCGGACGGTTTCTCTCCGGCCCCAGCCGCGCGCCCGCCCTGGGAGGAGGCGGTTCAGGGCCGGGCGCTGTTCTGGCTGGGTCGGGTTCGAGGCGGGGTGCAGGAGTTCCCCGTGTGCTGGGCGCAGGGTGTAGACTCTCCCTGTTCGGTGGGTCTTTTCATTTTCCTGAAGACGTTCTTGGATGCACAAAAGGTTTGAAGCGGACAAGGTCCAGTTTGTCTTTCCGCTGTGGTCTGTGCGCATGGCGCTGTAGCTGAGGTTCTCTGAACAGGAAGCCAGCATTGGTTCCCAGTGGGCGTGGCCTCCCTGGCTCCGCCCCCGGCGCAGTGGTGTGCCCCGCGTTGGGTGTGCACAAGCGGGGCTGCTCCCCCACCCCAGGAAGGTCGTGCCCATTCTGGGCCTGTGCCAGTGGCACAGCCACTCACGAGGCAGGCGGAGTCCTTCGCGCTCAGGGTCCAGGACCTGCCTTTTGTCCAAGGTGGATGTGTGGTCAGGCCAGGAGGGGCCTGATCTTGTGGGTCCTGTTCTGTTGCGTCTTTTTCTTTTTTAAAAAGTTTGTTTTATTTATTTGAAAGACAGAGTTACAGAGAGAGGTAGAGACAGAGAGAGAGGTTGTCCATCCGCTGGTTCACTCCCCAGGTGGCTGCAATGGCCAGAGCTGCACCGCGTGCCAGCCGCTGCTGCTTCTTTAAGCTTGCTTATGTGAAAGGCAGAGACACAGAGAGAGGGAGAGAGGTCTTCCATCTGCTGGTTCTCCCCCCAAATGGCTGCATCAGCTTGGGCTGGGCCAGGCTGAAGCCAGGAGCCAGGAGCTTCTTCCAGGTCTCCCTTGTGGGTGCCGGGCCCAAGCACTTCCCAGGCTGTCAGCAGGGACTTGGATCGGGAGTGGAGCAGTGAGGACTCGAACCAGCACCCCTGTGGGATCCTGGCACAGCAGGTAGCGGCTTAACCTTCTATGCCACAGTGCCAGCCCCCCCATTTTCTTCTAAATTGTGTAGGCTTAGTGTTTGATCCATTTGCATGAATTCCGGGTGTGGCTGTCTGGTTTCACCAACGCCACTATCAGAAAGACTGCTCTTCTCTTGTCGCATTGTCCCCCACCACTGTGGAGAAGCCCTGGGCTGCGAGCGTCGGGGTTCACCTGCGCACCCTTGGCGGGCTCGAACCCAGCCCGTGCCGGGGAGGCGGCAGGGCCAGGGCTGCCGCGCGGTGCGCGCTCTCCTCGCCTGGGCTGTTGGGGTCCTTGTCGACGTCTGCGCTGCAGAGCTGAGCTGGAGCGCGCTGGGGGGGAACGCCCGCGCTGTGAACCGAGGTGTTTCCTGTGATCAAGTCTCCGTTCCTCCTAGAGTTGGAGGCTTCAGTGTCTTGACCAGTGCCTTGACCCTCAGGGTGCCTGCGTGCTGTGGGCTTGCTGTGGACGCCCTTGAGGAAGGCCTGCGCGTGTGTGCACTGTGAAGAGGTGTTGGATCTTGTCGGCCCTTGCGTGTGTCTTGGTCGTGTCCTCCACTCTGTGGAGAAGGCGTAGCGCACCTGGTGACATGGCTGTGGAGCTGGGTGGGGGCCCGGGTGGGGTGGCTCGGCCCCGGCCCCCCATCCGGCTCAGGACTGCAGAGTGTGGACTGGTGGTGGGGGTGGCTCGGCCCCGGCCCCTCGTCTGGCTCAGGACTGCAGAGTGTGGACTGGTGGTGGGGGTGGCTCGGCCCCGGCCCCTCGTCTGGCTCAGGACTGCAGAGTGTGGGCTGGTGGTGGGGTGGCTCGGCCCCGGCCCCCCGTCTGGCTCAGGACTGCAGAGTGTGGGCTGGTGGTGGGGTGGCTCGGCCCCGGCCCCCCGTCTGGCTCAGGACTACAGTGTGTGGACTGGTGGTGGGGGGTGGCTCGGCCCCGGCCCCCCGTCTGGCTCAGGACTGCAGTGTGTGGGCTGGTGGTGGGGGTGGCTCGGCCCCGGCCCCCCGTCTGGCTCGGGACTGCAGAGTGTGGGCCCTGGTGGTGGGGTGGCTCGGCCCCGGCCCCCCGTCTGGCTCAGGACTGCAGAGTGTGGGCCCTGGTGGGGTGGCTCGGCCCCGGCCCCCCGTCTGGCTCGGGACTGCAGAGTGTGGGCCGTGGTGGGGGTGGCTCGGCCCCGGCCCCCCGTCTGGCTCAGGACTGCAGTGTGTGGGCTGGTGGTGGGGGTGGCTCGGCCCCAGCCCCCCGTCTGGCTCGGGACTGCAGAGTGTGGGCCCTGGTGGTGGGGTGGCTCGGCCCCGGCCCCCCGTCTGGCTCAGGACTGCAGAGTGTGGGCCCTGGTGGGGTGGCTCGGCCTCGGCCCCCCGTCTGGCTCAGGACTGCAGTGTGTGGAGTGGTGGTGGGGTGGCTCGGCCCCGGCCCCCCGTCTGGCTCGGGACTGCAGAGTGTGGGCCGTGGTGGGGGTGGCTCGGCCCCGGCCCCCCGTCTGGCTCAGGACTGCAGAGTGTGGGCCCTGGTGGGGTGGCTCGGCCTCGGCCCCCCGTCTGGCTCAGGACTGCAGTGTGTGGAGTGGTGGTGGGGTGGCTCGGCCCCGGCCCCCCGTCTGGCTCAGGACTGCAGAGTGTGGGCCCTGGTGGGGGTGGCTCGGCCCCGGCCCCCCGTCTGGCTCAGGACTGCAGAGTGTGGGCCGTGGTGGGGGTGGCTCGGCCCCGGCCCCCCGTCTGGCTCAGGACTGCAGAGTGTGGGCCCTGGTGGGGTGGCTCGGCCCCGGCCCCCCGTCTGGCTCAGGACTGCAGAGTGTGGGCCCTGGTGGTGGGGGTGGCTCGGCCCCGGCCCCCCGTCTGGCTCAGGACTGCAGAGTGTGGGCCCTGGTGGTGGGGGTGGCTCGGCCCCGGCCCCCCGTCTGGCTCAGGACTGCAGAGTGTGGGCCCTGGTGGGGTGGCTCGGCCCCGGCCCCCCGTCTGGCTCAGGACTGCAGAGTGTGGGCCCTGGTGGGGTGGCTCGGCCCCGGCCCCCCGTCTGGCTCGGGACTGCAGAGTGTGGACTGGTGGGGTGGCTCGGCCCCGGCCCCCCGTCTGGCTCAGGACTGCAGAGTGTGGACTGGTGGTGGGGGTGGCTCGGCCCCAGCCCCCCGTCTGGCTCAGGACTGCAGAGTGTGGGCCCTGGTGGTGGGGGTGGCTCGGCCCCGGCCCCCCGTCTGGCTCAGGACTGCAGAGTGTGGGCCCTGGTGGTGGGGGTGGCTCGGCCCCGGCCCCCCGTCTGGCTCAGGACTGCAGAGTGTGGGCCCTGGTGGGGTGGCTCGGCCCCGGCCCCCCGTCTGGCTCAGGACTGCAGAGTGTGGGCCGTGGTGGGGGTGGCTCAGCCCCGGCCCCCCGTCTGGCTCGGGACTGCAGAGTGTGGGCCCTGGTGGGGTGGCTCGGCCCCGGCCCCCCGTCTGGCTCAGGACTGCAGAGTGTGGACTGGTGGTGGGGGTGGCTCGGCCCCAGCCCTTCATCCGGCTCAGGACTGCAGAGTGTGGGCTAGTGGTGGGGGTGGCTCGGCCCCGGCCCCCCGTCTGGCTCAGGACTGCAGAGTGTGGACTGGTGGTGGGGGTGGCTTGGCCCCGGCCCCCCGTCTGGCTCAGGACTGCAGAGTGTGGACTGGTGGTGGGGGTGGCTTGGCCCCGGCCCCCCGTCTGGCTCAGGACTGCAGAGTGTGGGCCCTGGTGGGGTGGCTCGGCCCCGGCCCCCCGTCTGGCTCAGGACTGCAGAGTGTGGGCCCTGGTGGGGTGGCTCGGGTTTGGTTTCCGGGCTGCCCTTGGCTCAGGGTCGTGTTGCGTTCCCTCTGCTTCTCTCTGCCTCACTCTCCTGCGTGTCTGCCTTCTCCTTCCACAGGAAATGGACCCTCCCCACCCCTTCCCCAAGGAGATCCCACACAACGAGAAGCTGCTGTCCCTCAAGTATGAGGTGGGGGCTGCCTCCCCCGCCCCGTTCCTCTGCTCTGCCCTGTGCCCTGTCCCCCAGCCTCTGGCCTGCACTCCCCAGCGTGGGCATGGGCGTGGCATGGGCGTGGCGTGGGCGTGGCGTGGGCGTGGCGGGTGAGCCACCTTGCCTACCGTCTGGTCTGCAGAGCCTGGACTACGACAACAGTGAGAACCAGCTGTTCCTGGAGGAGGAGCGGCGGATCAACCACACGGTGAGCAGGCCGGGCGCCCGGGCACTGCACCTGCTCCACCCGCCTCCCCTCTCCCCGGCCTCCGTGTCCTGAGCCCCCTCTGCTCTCCTGGTGTTTGTGGGAGCCCTGGGGTGTGTGACACGCGACCCTGCTGCCAGGCTCCGTGGGAGAGCGTGTCGGGGCAGGCTGTTCTGACTGACAGGTGTGGTGCCCAGATCACCAGCTGAGCGTGGGCTGTGGGAAGTCACCCTCCCAGCCTTGGCTGGAATCCCAGGAGCCTCCAGGTGGCCCAGGCCCAGCTGCCCCTTGTGGGAGCGGCCACACAGCCAGCCCTGCGTGCCCTCCCCCAGGCCTTCCGGACGGTGGAGATCAAGCGCTGGGTCATCTGCGCCCTCATCGGCACCCTCACTGGCCTGGTGGCCTGCTTCATCGACGTCGTGGTGGAGAACTTGGCCGGCCTCAAGTACAGGGTCATCAAGGACAGTATCCTTTGGTCTGCTCTGGCCGGGCAGGGGGATTGTCCCAGCCACGGTTGAGGGTGGCAGGGGGTGGACGGTGGGCCGGGGGCGTCCGTAACACAGCCCGTCAGCTCTGTGGCCCCAGGAGTGGGGAAGGAGGGGCCGATGTGGAAGCCCCAGCCCTCCTTGACGAGCCGCAGACATCGACAAGTTCACGGAGAAGGGCGGGCTGTCCTTCTCCCTCCTGCTGTGGGCCACACTCAACGCCGCCTTCGTGCTCGTGGGCTCCGTGATCGTGGCCTTCATAGAGGTGCGGCTTTGGGAGGCCCTGGGGCACCTCGGCGACTGGGTGGGGACCCCGCCAGCTCAGCCACGCCCACTGCCCCACTGCCTGGGGAGCGTGGACACCTGTGCCAGCGAGAATCGCATGGCAATCGGTAGAGCCATGTGGCACAGACCCGAGACCGCCCAGTGACACGAGACCATCCTGTGGCCCCACCGCACACTCCTGGCCCTGCACTCCCTCCCCCCGTGCTGGCTCCCCGCCCGCACCCAGGCTCCCGTGCAGCATGACACACACACACACACACACACACATACATACACACAGCCTGTGCCAGGGCCCCCGGGAGGGTGGGAGAAAGAAGGGGCAGCATCTGGAGCCTTCTGCGGGTGCACAGTGCTGGCCTCTGGGCAGGAAGCCCTGGTTCCTGCCTGGCACTGCCCTCTGCTGCCCACCCGGGGGTGCACGGGGACCTCTGGCTCTCCCCCGTCAGCACCTCCCGGTCCGCAGGTCCCTCCGTGTCTGGGGTGGGGAGGCGGAAATGACTACATTGTGACACAAAGCCTCTTCCCGGCTCCCCAGGCCCCCTGTGGCTCCCCTGCCTGGCCCCCCGGGTCAGCTGTGCTCCCTCCCCCTTTTAGCCCGTGGCTGCTGGCAGCGGGATCCCCCAGATCAAGTGTTTCCTCAACGGGGTGAAGATCCCACACGTGGTGCGGCTCAAGGTGAGGGGGGCCCTGCGGACCCCAGGCAGGTCCAGCCCCACCCAGGCCAGTGCCTGCTGCTGACAGGGTGCACGCGGGGCTCGGTGTCCTGTGAGTAGCACGCACGCGCCGTGCCGTGGAGCCGTGGGTGTGGGCGAGCTTGGTCCTCGCAGCCCCACGGCCAGGGCTCTGCCCAGGCGGTGTCCTGCGGTGAGCTGTGTCTGGTTTTCAGTGTCCTGTCCCTCTCACCGCTTTTAGCGTTGTCTGTGATGTCCTGGCCACCCTTCCTCCCAGGGCCGGTTCCATCTGCACCGCCAGCGTCCCTGGGCCTGGCGGTGGGCAGGGCCGTGGGGGCCCCTGGGGGGCAGGGAGAGGTCAGCTGGCAACCACAGGGGCCCCTGGCAGCAGGACAGGGTCAGCGGGGGGCTGCTGGGCATGGCCGGGGCAGAGGGCTCCCCCTGTCGCCTGGGAGGGCTGGCGAGCCTGGGCTCAGCGCTGGGGAGAGAGGCCCCTGCCCTTGTCTGCTGGGCCAGGTGGGAGATTGAGGGCACGGTGGGCACCAGCCCTGGGCTGCCGTGGGGGCAGGGGCCGCGCTGTGCACACAGTGGACGTCGCCCCACTCGCCCGACGCTGCCCTTGCTTTCCAGACCCTGGTCATCAAGGTGTCCGGGGTCATCCTGTCCGTGGTCGGTGGACTGGCCGTGGGCAAGGTAACTGTGGGAACCACCCTGGGCCTGGGAGGGCGGCCGTGGCCGGGCGTGGCGTCTGAGCACCCGGCCTCTGCCCCCAGGAAGGGCCGATGATCCACTCGGGGTCTGTGATCGCCGCCGGCATCTCCCAGGGGAGGTCGACCTCGCTGAAGCGAGATTTCAAGGTGAGTGCCCCCGCGCCCGCCCTGACCTTGACCCCGTGGCCTCTGCACGATCATTCTCCACCGTGTCCAGGTGGGGTCTCTGCCTGTGGGCGTGGTCAGGAGCTCTGAGCAGCCTCTCCCGGGAAGGTGCACCTCTGGCTGGACACGGAGCACTGGGGGCGTTCAGCGGTGCCTTAGCCATGCCACTGCCCTGGGACGGCCCGGTCTCCTCGGTGTCGCCAGTGCCGGGGTCTCCTGCCTGGGGTTAGAGACGGGGTTTTCAGTGGACCACGTCGGGTGTTCTTTAGGCCCCTTGGTAGCCTCTCCTGCCCGTGCTGAGCCCACGTCACGTGGGCCCTCTGTGGCTCGGCGTGCCCGAGGCCCACGGCCACCCTCTGCCTGTCCCGTTTCAGATCTTTGAGTACTTCCGCAGAGACACTGAGAAGAGAGACTTTGTCTCGGCTGGCGCCGCGGCCGGGGTGTCTGCCGCCTTTGGAGCCCCCGTGGGTGAGGAAGGCCCTGCCCGGCCTGGGCTTCTCCCTTGGGAGCCTGTGGCTGAGCAGGCCGGGAGGCCACAGTCCGCTGGGTGTGGGAGGCAGCAGTGGCACGGGTGCCCCAGGCCTGCGTGCTGCTTCAGGCCTGCGCCCGCCTCCCAGGTGGGGTCCTGTTCAGCCTGGAGGAGGGCGCCTCCTTCTGGAACCAGTTCCTGACCTGGAGGATTGTGAGTGCCACAGCCACTCCTGCGTGGCGCCCTGCGTCCCACTGCCCCCACCCCTGACTGCGGCACCCCCGGCCCAGCCCCCTCCCCAGTGCCCTGCGGCCGCGGGGGGCGGGGCTCAGGCACCGCCGTCTCTGCCGCAGTTCTTTGCGTCCATGATCTCCACGTTCACCCTGAACTTCGTGCTGAGCATCTACCACGGGAACATGTGGGACCTGTCCAGCCCCGGCCTCATCAACTTCGGGAGATTTGACTCGGAGGTAGGCCCGGCCCCGCCCGGCCCGGCCATGCCGGAGCCCGTGGGGGGAGGGGTCTGCGCAGTTCAAGCTCCTGCCTGTGGGTGTACAAGCCCCCCCCCCCCCGCAGGGCCCAGCTTGTCACGTGGCTGCCACACGGCCCAGTGCTGAGTGCCGGGGTAGAGGGTCCCACACACAGCCTGTCTCTGGGGATGAGTGGGTTCCGGCCAGCATCTGGGCTCAGGGGCCGTGTGCTGCAGTCACTGGCTCGCGTGGGCTCCACCCTGGCCGGGTGGTCCCCGGTGGGGGTCCCGGGCCGTGGGCCCTCCCGCTCACCTTCGCTGCTTCCCTCTGTAGAAAATGGCCTACACCATCCACGAGATCCCCGTCTTCATCGCCATGGGCGTTGTGGGTAAGGGCCTCCCAGGGTCCGGACCGTGGCCTCCCTGCCTGCGGCTTCCCAGGTCCCCACAGGCAGCGGCCGGCCTGCAGGAAGAACCAAAGCCTCCGCCGCCCGCCTCTCCCCCAGGGCCGCCTTCCTCTCTGCCCCAGTGTTGAGTTCGGGGCTTTTCTGGCTCAGGCACCCTGGAGATTTGGGCGTGCAGAGTCCCTGTGTCTCCCACGTGCTGCCACGCGCGGCCCGCAGGCGGCCGTGCTGGGTATTCTCGGCTCTGGTTTGACGGGCACCTGCCGCCCGAGGCCGCGTGTGGAGTCTTCCGCTTGTGCCTCCATCACCCTCCGCAAGTGTGGTTGGGGCGTTGTTGGCCTGCGGTCTCTTATGCTCTGGAAGGGAGGCGGAGCCGTGCGGTGTGACGACGAAGCCTCTTGGCAGGCCCCGCCCCTGACCCCAGCCTCTCTGGGTGTAGGCGGCGTGCTCGGAGCTGTGTTCAACGCCTTGAATTACTGGCTGACGATGTTTCGGATCAGGTAAGGAGGAGCCCCTGGTGTGCCTATGCCGGGTGCAGCGGCGCTGGTGTCGGGGAAGGCTCACGCTGGCAGGGCCGCGCGGGAGGCTAGAGGGCTGCGGCGGCCCCTGGGCAGCCTTTGGTTCTGGGAGAGCGCGCCGCCATTCTGCTCCGGCGCCCAGTCCTCACACCAGTTCCCACCGCGGGAACCGAGCTCCGAGCTCCGAGGAACACTGCCTCGCCCCGGGGGCTGCCCCGCCCCTCGCGCCCAGCGCAGCCCCGCCCCTCGCGCCCAGTGCAGCCCCGCTCTTGGCCGCAGGTACATCCACCGGCCCTGCCTGCAGGTGCTCGAGGCCATGCTGGTGGCCGCCGTCACCGCCACGGTGGCCTTCGTGCTCATCTACTCGTCCCGGGATTGCCAGCCCCTGCGCGGCAGCTCCATGTCCTACCCCCTCCAGGTAGCCGGGGGGCCCGGGTGGGCGGGCTGGGGGGACAGGCTGCGGGGTCAGCTGGTCAGGGGCCACGCTGGGCCGCCCAGGGCCGGAGGACAGAAAGCGCCAGCGTGTCCGGCTCAGCCCAACCTCAGTCTGCAGGGGGCTCAGCCCGTCTCGGGCGCTGTGGCCCTGGGCACGGCCCTGTGGCCCTGGGCGCGGCGCTGTGGCCCTGGGTGTGGCTCTGTGGCCCTGGGCGTGGCGCTGTGGCCCTGGGCGCAGTGCTGTGGCCCTGGGCGTGGCGCTGTGGCCCTGGGCGCGGTGCTGGGCCGCGTCTCCCGTGCTCCTCCTGGAGCTGCATCCTGCTGAGAGGCGTGAACACAGGGCACTCGGTGCTCACGGCAGCCCCGTGTCTGTCCCTGGGCGCTAGGGGCAGCATCCTGTGGGGGGGGTGACGATGTTGGACTGTGGGTCCAGGGGTGGCTGTGGCAAAGGCCGTGGGTGACCAGCTGCGTGGCCCTGGTTCAGCCCTGCTCTGGGCCGCTGTCTCCCATGCACCCGGGACAGACCAGCTGTCCAGCCCAGGGGCCTGCTGAGCGGCCCCCGTGGGGGTGGGTCGCGTCCAAGGCTCGCCAGGCCTGCTGTGTGGCCTCACCTGGTGCTGTCCGGGCCGGCAGTGCAGGTCTGTGTCCACGGCCCCTGGCGCATCTGCCTGTGTTTCCTGTCTCCCAACCGCGCAGCTCTTCTGTGCAGATGGCGAGTACAACTCCATGGCCGCGGCCTTCTTCAACACCCCGGAGAAGAGCGTGGTCAGCCTCTTCCATGACCCGCCAGGTGCGTGGGCAGCGCGGTGGGGTGCGCTGGGGAACGGGCGCTGCGGTTGGGAGCTGCCGGCACCAGGCCGTCCCCCACCTCCTGGGTGAGGTTGCTCGTGGGTGGCTGGTGACCCCACGCCGAGGCCATGTCCCGGCCTCGCCCAGCCACGCATTCTTGATAAAAATGCAGACCGTGCTGTCACCTCCCTGACCGCGGCCCTCGGCCTCCCCGAGCACCCCACAGCCCGCGCAGCGCCTGCCCGGTGCGGGGAGCAAGGCCCCTGCGGCCCTGGGCATCGCCAGGCGTCACGCATGTGTCCGTGGCCCGGTGTCTGATGAGCGTTGCTCAGTGTGGTTGCTGGCAGCCGTGACCCCGCCCCACGGACCACCCCTCCCTGGTCCCTGGTGTGCACCGCATGCCCACCTTGCCCCCGGTCACCACCCCGCCAGCCCTCCTGCCCACGGGCCCCAGTGCTGCGGCACCGAGGCCCTGGTTCCCTCGGGAGCCCTGGTGGCTGGGTGTGGCCGTAGGCGGCCGCATCTCCATGTCCCTCCAGGAGGGCTGAACTTCTGACCCACAGGGCCTGACCTCTGGCCCCCGACCGTGCCCAGGCGTGGAGGGCAGGCCTGTGGGTGTTTCCCGGTGCTTCAGTGAGGAAGGCCTGGGCGGCGCTGGGAGCCCGGTGCCCACTTGCAGGCCCAGGTGCCCCCACCCAGGGCCCTGGTGGGTGTGGTGACCCTCCTGGATCCCTTGGGTGCCGGTAGCTGCCGCCCATAGCAGCCCCCCCCCACAGCCCCTCCCAGGCCTTGCACCTCTGTCTTCTGGGGCTGCAGGGGCTGGGGCTCGGGGCACGGCCGTGTGGCCTGCGTGCGCCTGGGCCTAGCAGCCCCTGTCCCCCCAGGCTCCTACAACCCCCTGACCCTCGGCCTCTTCACGCTGGTCTACTTCTTCCTGGCCTGCTGGACCTACGGGCTCACGGTCTCTGCTGGCGTCTTCATCCCGTCCCTGCTCATCGGGGCCGCCTGGGGCCGGCTCTTTGGCATCTCCTTGTCCTACCTCACCGGGGCCGCGGTGAGTGCGCCGCCAGCCTGGGACCTCTTGGGTGGACGCTCAGGCCTTGTCACTTTGCCGTGGACGGAGGGTGGGCCTGGCGTGGCTCGCGGAGCCGTGGACGGAGGGTGGGCTTGGCGTGGCTCGCGGAGCCGTGGACGGAGGGTGGGCCTGGCGTGGCTCGCGGAGCCGTGGACGGAGGGTGGGCCTGGCGTGGCTCGCGGAGCCGTGGACGGAGGGTGGGCCTGGCGTGGCTCGCGGAGCCGTGGACGGAGGGTGGGCCTGGCGTGGCTCGCGGAGCCGTGGACGGAGGGTGGGCTTGGCGTGGCTCACGGAGCCGTGGACGGAGGGTGGGCCTGGCGTGGCTCGCGGAGCCGTGGACGGAGGGTGGGCTTGGCGTGGCTCACGGAGCCGTGGACGGAGGGTGGGCTTGGCGTGGCTCACGGAGCCGTTCTGAGAATGTGGTGATGCTTCCCTTTCTTCCTCTCCCTTCTTCATTTTATTTTTTTATGTTATTTATTTATTTATTTGAGAGGTAGAATCACAGACAGCGAGAGGCAGAGACAGAGAGAGAGGTCTTCCTTCTGCTGGTTCACTCCCCAAATGACCTCAACGGCCGGAGCTGGGCCAGTCCAAAGCCAGGAGCCAGGAGCTTCTTCTGGGTCTCCCCCACGGGTGCAGGGCCCAAGCACCTGGGCCATCCTCCACTGCACTCCCAGGCCCCACAGGGAGCTGGGTCAGAAGTGGAGCAGCCGGGACTAGAACTGGCGCACTATGGGATGTCGGCGCTGCAGGCAGAGGATTAACCTACTGCACCATAGCGCCAGCCCCATCTCTTCAATTTTTTTTTTTTTTAAATCACATATTTATTTACGTGAGTGTTAGAATTCCAGAGAGGGAGAGACAGAGGTCTCCCACCCCCTGGTCACTCCCCGATGGCCACAGCTGCAGGGCCCGGGCCTGGGCCAGGAGCTCCTTCCCGGTCTCCCACGCGGTGCAGGGGCTCAGGGCTCATCCGTCCTCTGGAGCTGGGCAGGAAGTGGAGCAGCGGGTCTCGAACCAGCGCCCATATGGGACGCCGGCGCCTCAGGCCAGGGCGTTACCTGCTGTGCCACAGTGCTGGCCCCATGGCAGATTTTTAGTTTGCGTCATAGCCACTCTGAGTTTTTAGCAGGAAGTGACTACAGGGAGCCGCTCTGCCCAGCCCCCGTGGGGCTGGGGCCTCCCAGACCCCGCTCTGCCCGGCCCCCGTGGGACTGGGGCCTCCCAGTCCCCGCTCTGCCCGGCCCCCGTGGGGCTGGGGCCTCCCAGTCCCCGCTCTGCCCGGCCCCCGTGGGGCTGGGGCCTCCCAGTCCCCGCTCTGCCCGGCCCCCGTGGGGCTGGGGCCTCCCAGACCCCCCTCTGCCCGGCCCCCGTGGGGCTGGGGCCTCCCAGTCCCCCCTCTGCCCGGCCCCCGTGGGGCTGGGGCCTCCCAGTCCCCGCTCTGCCCGGCCCCCGTGGGGCTGGGGCCTCCCAGTCCCCCTCTGCCCGGCCCCCGTGGGGCTGGGGCCTCCCAGTCCCCCTCTGCCCTCCCCCGTGGGGCTGGGGCCTCCCAGTCCCCCCTCTGCCCTCCCCCGTGGGGCTGGGGCCTCCCAGTCCCCCTCTGCCCTCCCCCGTGGGGCTGGGGCCTCCCAGTCCCCCTCTGCCCTCCCCCGTGGGGCTGGGGCCTCCCAGTCCCCCTCTGCCCTCCCCCGTGGGGCTGGGGCCTCCAGTCCCCCTCTGCCCTCCCCCGTGGGGCTGGGGCCTCCCAGTCCCCCTCTGCCCGGCCCCCGTGGGGCTGGGGCCTCCCAGTCCCCCTCTGCCCTCCCCCGTGGGGCTGGGGCCTCCCAGACCCCCCTCTGCCCTCCCCCGTGGGGCTGGGGCCTCCCAGTCCCCCTCTGCCCGGCCCCCGTGGGGCTGGGGCCTCCCAGTCCCCCTCTGCCCGGCCCCCGTGGGGCTGGGGCCTCCCAGACCCCCCTCTGCCCTCCCCCGTGGGGCTGGGGCCTCCCAGTCCCCCTCTGCCCTCCCCCGTGGGGCTGGGGCCTCCCAGTCCCCCTCTGCCCTCCCCCGTGGGGCTGGGGCCTCCCAGTCCCCCTCTGCCCTCCCCCGTGGGGCTGGGGCCTCCCAGTCCCCCCTCTGCCCTCCCCCGTGGGGCTGGGGCCTCCCAGTCCCCCTCTGCCCTCCCCCGTGGGGCTGGGGCCTCCCAGTCCCCCTCTGCCCTCCCCCGTGGGGCTGGGGCCTCGTTTTGTTTTTCCTTTCTCCACCTCAGTTGCTCAGACAAGACCAAAAGCTGTAAGAGCCACAGCAGGTGGTCCGCACTGCCCGGCCCCTCCCCCGGGACGCAGCAGGTGGTCCACACTGCCCGGCCCCTCCCCCGGGACGCAGCAGGTGGTCCGCACTGCCCGGCCCCTCCCCCGGGACGCAGCAGGTGGTCCGCACTGCCCGGCCCCTCCCCCGGGACGCAGCAGGTGGTCCGCACTGCCCGGCCCCTCCCCCGGGACGCAGCAGGTGGTCCGCACTGCCCGGCCCCTCCTCCGCTCCCAGCCCGCCTCTGCTGTCTGTGCTGAGATGCGGGTCACAGGCCTCGGTGGTCTCGCTTGAACACCTGGTGGCTCTGTACATTCACAGTGACAGCAGCCTCCACTGCCATCTAGAATGTTCCAGAATGTTCTCTCCGTCCCCCAAAGCATCCCTGTGCCCGTCAGCCCCAGCCCTACCTCCATAGCACGGGCGCACACGCGTGCACACCCACGGCCTCCCTCTGCCCCTGGAGTCAGTGATTAGGTCACACGACCTTCCCTCGCGGAGGGCCTGCCCCTGGTGCGCGGGCACTTCTGCCCTGCGGCCTCTCCTCCGCGTGGGGCGTGGGGCATCGGCAGCACGCCGGCTCGTCTCCAGGACTTGCGTGGCACGGGGTGCCGTGGGGGACCTTGGTGTGTGTGGGCCGTGGTGGTCGCTGCTGTGGGTGTGGGTGTGAGCTCCGACGCCCCCTCCGTGTCCCCGCAGATCTGGGCCGACCCTGGCAAGTACGCGCTCATGGGCGCCGCCGCTCAGCTTGGTAAGTCGCGGCTCTGCTCGCGTGGCCGTGCCCATGTCCGTGTGGCCGGGCCCGCGTGGCCCCGAGGCTGACGCCCGGCCCCGCAGGTGGCATCGTGAGGATGACGCTGAGCCTGACGGTGATCATGATGGAGGCCACCAGCAACGTGACCTACGGCTTCCCCATCATGCTGGTGCTCATGACCGCCAAGATCGTGGGCGACGTCTTCATCGAGGTGCCCTGGGCCCGGGGCGGCGGGCAGCGGCTGGGCGGGGCGGGGCTGGGCGGACGGGGCTGGGCCAGGGCGGGGCGGGCGGGCGGCGGGCGGGGAACGGGCGGGGCGGGGCTGGGCGGCGGGCGGCGGCCCCGGGGCTGGGCGGGGGACGGGCGGGGCGGGGCAGGACGGGGCTGGGCGGGGCTGGGCCAGGGCGGGGCGGGCGGGCGGCGGGCGGGGAACGGGCGGGGCTGGGCGGCGGGCGGCGGCCCCGGGGCTGGGCGGGGGACGGGCGGGGCGGGGCCGGGCGGGGCTGGGCGGGGGACGGGCTGGGCGGGCGGGGCTGGGCGGGGCGGGGCGGGGCGGGCGGGGCTGGGCGGGGGACGGGCGGGGCGGGGCTGGGCCGGGGCCGGGGCGGGCGGGGCTGGGCGCGGCTGGGCGGGGCTGGGCCAGGGCTGGGCGGGCGGGCGGCGGGCGGGGCTGGGCGGGGCTGGGCGCGGCTGGGCGGGGCCGGGCGGCGGCGGGCGGGGCGGGGCGGCCCGGGCAGCGCGTGGCTCTGCCCCCCCAGGGCCTGTACGACATGCACATCCAGCTGCAGAGCGTGCCCTTCCTGCACTGGGAGGCCCCCGTCACCTCGCACTCGCTCACCGCCAGGTAGGCGCCCGGCCGCCGCCCACGGGCCTGCCCACCGCGGGAGCGCGGGCCCTGCGGCACGCGGCCTCCTCCCGGGCTCTCCTCTCCGGCAGGGAGGTGATGAGCACCCCGGTGACCTGTCTGAGGCGGAGGGAGAAGGTGGGCGTCATCGTGGACGTCCTCAGCGACACGGCGTCCAATCACAACGGCTTTCCCGTGGTGGAGGACGCCGGGGACGCCCAGGTACCGCCCCGCCCCGGGAGCCGCCCGCCGGCGCCTTCGCTCACAGCTGTGCGGGGCAGCTGTGGGTGACAGGAGGGGGACTCGGCGCGGGCCGGGGTCAGGGCTGCCCGTCGGGGTCCTGCGGGCGCCCGGCCGAGCAGCCACAGGCCTGCTTCCCCGCAGCCGGCGCGGCTCCAGGGCCTGGTCCTGCGCTCCCAGCTCATCGTCCTCCTGAAGCACAAGGTGCGAGGGGGCGGGGCGGGGGCGGGGCGGGGGGTGGGGACGGGGCGGGCGGGGGCGGGCGGGGCGGGGCGGCCCCGGCGGCTCTGACGGCCTCTGCCGCAGGTGTTCGTGGAGCGCTGCGGCGTGGGCCTGGCGCCGCGGCGGCTGCGGCTCAAGGACTTCCGGGACGCCTACCCGCGCTTCCCGCCCATCCAGTCCATCCACGTGTCGCAGGACGAGCGCGAGTGCACCGTGGACCTGTCGGAGTTCATGAACCCCTCGCCCTACACCGTGCCGCAGGTACCTGGCGCGTGGGCGGCCGGGCCTGGCGGGGGTGGGGCAGCGCCCTGACGTCCGGTGCTCCGTGCAGGAGGCGTCGCTGCCCCGCGTGTTCAAGCTGTTCCGGGCGCTGGGCCTGCGGCACTTGGTGGTGGTGGACAACCGCAACCAGGTGAGCTGTGCGGCAGAGACCCCGCCCACGCTGCCCCAGTGCGGCAGAGACCCCGCCCACGCTGGCCCCAGTGCGGCAGGGACCCTGCCCACGCTGCCCCAGTGCGGCAGGGACCCCGGCCCCACGCTGGCCCCAGTGCGGCAGGGACCCCGGCCCCACGCTGGCCCCAGTGCGGCAGGGACCCCGCCCACGCTGGCCCCAGTGCGGCAGGGACCCCGGCCCCACGCTGGCCCCAGTGCGGCAGGGACCCTGCCCACGCTGCCCCAGTGCGGCAGGGACCCCGGCCCCACGCTGCCCCAGTGCGGCAGGGACCCCGGCCCCACGCTGGCCCCAGTGCGGCAGGGACCCCGGCCCCACGCTGGCCCCAGTGCGGCAGGGACCCCGGCCCCACGCTGGCCCCAGTGCGGCAGGGACCCCGGCCCCACGCTGGCCCCAGTGCGGCAGGGACCCCGGCCCCACGCTGCCCCAGTGCGGCAGGGACCCCGGCCCCACGCTGGCCCCAGTGCGGCAGGGACCCCGCCCACGCTGGCCCCAGTGCGGCAGGGACCCCGGCCCCACGCTGGCCCCAGTGCGGCAGGGACCCCGGCCCCACGCTGCCCCAGTGCGGCAGGGACCCCAGCCCCACGCTGGCCCCAGTGCGGCAAGGGTCCCGCTGCGAGTGGGTGCTGACGCCATGCGTTGCTCCCGCAGGTGGTCGGGCTGGTGACCCGGAAGGACCTGGCCAGGTACCGCCTGGGCAAGGGGGGCCTGGAGGAGCTCTCACTGGCGCAGACGTGAGGCCCTGGCCCTGCCCTCGGCACAGCTCCCCCGGCCCCTTTGTGCCTCCTCCCGGGGTCCCTGGTCTCTGGGCCAAAGCCTCCTTGCTCCCGGTGCGGTGGACGCGAGCGTCGGGCAGAGCTGTGAGCACAGCCGCGCCCCGGCTCGTCGCCTGCCCTGTGCCTCCACCTTGCTCCTCTGGGCCGGGGCCCTCGGGGTCTCCTGCAGCAGCCCCCCCGCTCCCGACCGAGTGCTCCCTGGAGCCAGCAGGAGGGGCCGGTGTGAGACGGACAGGCTGCACCTGTCACCTCCGTGCCTCGCCCCACCTGGGGCGCGCCCCCCCAGGGAGCCCTGCCTGCACCCCGGGCCGGGGTCTCGGGTCCAGCTCACCACTGTCACTTGAGCCTCGGACCTGGGCATTGTGCGCAGGGGGCGGCTTCCTGCTGGGCCGGGGAGCCCAGCCCAGAGTCCCTCTGGGACGCTGGAAGCCACCTCTGTGTCCTGCCTGTGTCTGCCACAAGGTGGCGCAGGCCCCCGTGGAGGCTCAGCGCCCTCCCCAGGGAGAAGCAGAGGAGCCGCCAGAGACAACCAGCACTGCCTCCCCTCCCCCGCCTGGACCCTGCTCCTGCACCCAGGCCATGTCGGGTGGGGCCCCCGCGGGCCCTGCGAGAGGGGGCTGCCCTCACTGGGGCCCCGGCCACTCGCCTGGGCGGGGTCCAGCCTGGACAGAGCCCGGTGCGAGACACAGCCCGCGGGACCTCACAGACGGAACCAAAAACGCATGTGCAATCCCCGTCCTTGGTCGTTTTGTACTGGTTGCGTGTTGCAATGGTGATGTTTTGGATATATCAGGTCAAATAAAACGGACTTGACATTCACGGGTTTCATTGGCTTTCTCGTGGTGCAGCTTGGCTGCCGGTAGCCGCCTCGGTGGCCTGCGCCCTCTCGCCCCTCGAGGCTCCCACTGTGCTGGCTGCCGTCCCCTCCGGCCTGGGCGGGGCAGCAGCCAGTGCCCTCCACGAGCGGCAGTTGGGCCCTGAAGTCCCGGGTTCCGGAAGGTTCCAGCGGCCCCTGCCCCCACCGGATTCTGTGTGAAAGAAGGGGGCGAGAGGGCGGGAGGTTGTCCTCCACCCCACCTGCGCCCCCACCTCTCCCAGCCCTCGGACGCCCTGGCCTGGTGTCCAGCCGGGGGCCTGGGCCCGCAGCCTACGCCACAGCGCCCAGCAGCTGGTGACGCCATGTCAGGTGAGCCGGGAGCCCGCAGGCCACGTGGGAGGCACTGTCCTCAGGCAGGCCCCAGGACCCCCTGGGCTCCCAGGTGCGGTGACTCGGGTCCTGGCTACCTTGACACCCCCCCCCCCGCAGGAGCCGCCGCCCAGGGTGAGCTGCCGAGGCGCCATCTCGTAGAGCTGGCCGCCAGCCCCCCATCGGAGTCGCTCCCCTCCCGGCCGAGCACCCCCACCATGGAGGACCTGGAGCTCCTGCTGGCCAGCCCCGAGCCCTTGAGCCGGGGGGAGACAGAGCAGCGTGGGTCCAGCCGCCCGCTGGTGTCCAGTGCCTCCAGGCCCGAGCAGGACACCGCCAAGCGCTGGCAGCAGCTGGAGCGACAGTGAGCCCCCCCCCCGGGGCACGGGCACGGGCGGGGGGCACGGCAGCCCCTGCGGCTGGCACGGCTGGACTGGGCGGCTCTGGCCCCGGCTAGGGTGGCTGACCTGCAGGCCGAGGTGGCGCACCTGCGGGGTCACAAGGAGCGCTGTGAGTGCGCCTCGCTGAGCCTGCTGCGCGACCTGGAGCTGCAGCGGGCGGCGCAGACGCCCGAGAAGGCGGCGCTGGAGGTGAGCGCGGGGCGGGCCGCGGGAGTCGGCACACGGGGCCCCAGCCTGCTCAGCCCTGCGCCCTCCCCGCAGCTCCACGGCCCCCACAACCAGATGCAGGCCCTGGACAGGAGGTAGGCCACAGGCCCTGGGTGTGGCGGGGCTGCCGTGGGCCTGGGCGGAAGCCGCGCCTTGTCCCCCAGGCTGGTGGAGGTCCGGGAAGCCCTGACCGAGGTCCGGAGGAGGCAGGCGCTGCAGGACGCCGAGCGGAAGGGCGCCGAGCAGGAGGCCCGCGTCAGGTGGGCCCCCAGGGCTGCCCGTGACCCTCACCCTCGCTGCCCAGCCGGGGGCGGCCGGGCTGTCCGTCCTGCTGCTGACTCTTGGGGAAAAGCGCCTGGAAGCTGGGCCCTGCCCCTCACCCTGGGTGCCCGCCGGGATTCCAAGTCTGGTCCACGCCACTGCGCTCCTTTGGCTGCCAGCCAGTCCTGCCTTGCAGGCCGCCCACTCAGCCTAGGCCACCCAGACGCCGGCGCTGGCAGGAGAAGGACTCTGTCCAGGGCCCCGCGCAGCCTTCCTGGGACACCCCAGCCCCGCCCTCCCCCCAGCTGGGCCGCTGCCACTGTGCCCGTGCCCTAGGCTGGCCAAGCTGACCAGCTTGCTGAGGCAGGAGGAGCAGGCCCGGGAGGCCGCCTGCAGCACCCTGCAGAAGGGCCAGGAGGACAGCAGCCAGAGAGTGGACCAGGAGGTGGCCAGGATGCAGGTACCGCAAGGGAGCGGGGCCCGGCCCGGCCCGGCCCCGCCCAACCAAGTGGCGCCCCCGCCCGTGCCTTCCTGGCTCCCGGCTTCTGCCCACGTGCGGGGCCCGTGGCGGCCGCCGTCAGGACACTCAGAACTCAGTGCTGGCTTGGCAAGCACGGCCGGGGGTGGACCGAGCAGCCGCGTGTGGCCACGTGTGGCCGACGGTGCTGGCTTGGGCTCCCTTCACTACAGACAGGGCTGGGGGCGGCACCACTGCTGCCTCCATCCCCCTCCCTGTCCAGGCGCAGCCCTCGTTCAGAGCCACGGCCCCTCCACAGCCATGCGTTCCCAGGACCCGAGACCCCCGCACGCACCAGGGCCCTGCTGCGGTGGGTGCGGGGATGACAGAGCCCCCGCAGACCCCTGCGGGGCGGGGCGGGGCGGGGCAGCGGCCAGGGTCTCCTGCTGCTGCCCACACCGGCTCTGCTGTCCAGGTCGGCACGACGCAGTGGGGGGGCACCCGGCAGAGGGTGCCCGACCTCCTGGGACCGGAGGCTGCCCCTCACTGGCGGTCTCCCTTCTCCCCGAGCAGGGGGCGTCTGAGCGCTCCAGACCACGGCCACTGAAGTCTTTGCGAGTAAAGTTTTATTGGCACGTGGCCGTGAGCACGTAGGTACCGATTCTCATGGCCACATCTGGAGCCACCAGGGCAGAGAGGCTGTGGCCCCACCCCTGGGAGCCCCAAGCGCTGACCGCCTGGCTCCGCACTGACCTGCTGACCCAGCGGTGGGCGCCCTCCTGCTTGGGGGCCGGTGGAGCGAGGGCTGCCCTGGGGACCATGGCTCTCGGAGCCGGGAGGACTCTGCCCCCTGCCCAGGCAAGCCCCGGGCTCTGGGCTGTGAGAAGGTGCCTGGGGCCCAGAGCTGCCCCCTCCGGTGTGCAGCGCCCTCACCCCTCCCTGGCAGGATGTGGTGGCCACAGCACTGCCTGCCCAGCTGCATCCGGGGTCGCGAGGACCCCCGGGACCCCCTTGGCGATGCTGGAGGCTGGGGCAGGGTGCCTGCGCCGCCTTCGTCCCCGCGCAGGGTAAGGTCGGCCCGGCGCTGTCGGGCCCGAGGCCATGCGGGGACAGGGTCCCCAGGGCCCAGGCACGCGGCTGGCGCGGCAGGAGGCTGAGGCGCCGTGCGGCCCTGCCAGGCCCAGGTGACCACGCTGGGCGAGGAGATGAGTCTGCGCTTCCTGAAGAGGGAGGCCAAGCTCTGCGGCTTCCTGCAGAGGAGCTTCCTGGCCCTGGAGCAGGTGGGGCCGGGCCGGGCCGGGCGGGGGCCGGGGTCAGCCCGGCCCGCGCGCTCACGCGCCTCTGCTCCCCCAGAGGATGAAGGCCTCGGAGGGCGCCAGGCTGCAGGCCGAGGGCAGCCTGCGGCAGGAGCTGGACGGCCGCTGGCAGAAGCTGCAGGAGCAGAGCGAGGAGCGGGCGCAGGCGCAGCGCGAGGTGGGCGGGGCCGGGGCAGGCAGAGGGGACACACGGCAGACGGGGTGGACACACGGGGTGGGGCAGACAGGGTGGGGCAGGCGGGGTGGACACACAGGGCAGGGCAGATGGGGTGGGACAGACGGGGGACACACGGGATGGGGCAGGCGGGGTGGACACACGGGGTGGGGCAGACAGGGTGGGGCAGGCAGGGTGGGGCAGGCGGGGTGGACACACAGGGCAGGGCAGAGGGGGACACATGGGGCGGGGCAGAGGGGGACACACGGGGTGGGGCAGAGGGGGTGGACACACGGGGTGAGGCACACAGCATGGGACACACAGGGTGGGGCAGACAGGGTGGACACATGGGGTAGACACGCGGTGTGGCAGACAGGGTGTGGGGCAGATGGGGTGGACACCCGGGGTGGGGCAGATGGGGTGGACACACGGGGTGGGGCAGACGGGGTGGACACACGGGTAGACACGCGGTGTGGCAGACAGGGTGTGGGGCAGACGGGGTGGACACCTGGGGTGGGGTGGACACCTGGGGTGGGGCAGACAGGGTGGGCATGCGGCTCAGGACCCGTCCGCTGCAGCAGGAGGGTGGCCGCCTGCTGGCACAGTGCCGGGGCCTGGACGCAGCCGTGGTCCAGCTCACCAAGTTCGTGCGGCAGAACCAGGTGTCTCTGAACCGTGTCCTCCTGGCCGAGCAGAAGGCCCGGTGGGTGCCCTGGGGCAGGGGGCACCCAGTGCACCTGAGTGCAGTGTGGGGCCACACACGCCGGGGCAGAGTGGCCAACCCTGTCCCCTAGGCTGCCGCCCCTCCCCGGGGAGCATGGCCCCACCTCAGAGGCGCCAGGGACAGCCCCTCCCCCGATTCCTGGGACCCCCTGGGTGGTCCTGGAGGCGCAGCCCAGCCCTGCTGAGGGTGGTCTCGGCACCCGCCCCAGCGATGCCAAGGTGTGCTTGGAGGAGAGCCAGGCCGGGGAGTTGGCCTCCCACGTGCAGGAGAGCCTGCAGGCCGTGCAGCTGGCCGGGCAGCGGGCCCAGCAGGAGACGCAGGGCGCACTGGAGCTGGTGAGGGGCCGGGCAGGGCTGGCGGGGACCCCCATTCCCGGGCGCGGGCCCCCAGCCTGGGCCTCCTCTCCCGTCTTCCCCACAGCTCCGAGAGAAGAACCAGGCCCTGGAGCGGGCCGTGGCCGAGCTGGCCCTGCAGGTGGAAGACCTGGGTGCCCACTGCCTGGCCCTGGGCTGCAGGCTGGACCTGCAGGCGCAGACGCTGGGGCAGAGGCTGTCGGCAGTGAGTCCCCGCCAGCGCCTGCAGCGAGGGGCCCGCGGTGAGGGCGGCCCTGCCCGGTCGCTGTGGCGGCAGTTTTATTGAGAAGTCAGTACAGCACGGCTCCGCTCTGAGCGCCCAGTCAGTCCTAGAAGGCGCTGTCTCCCCAGCGCAGCCCCGGGTGCCCCTGTGCCCCGCCTCCCAGAGTCCGCTTCCTGTGTGGATCCGCCAGTCCTGGGGACCCACAGCCCGGGCCTCCCCTAGCCCCGCGAGGCGGTGGTTCAAAGGTTAACAGGGGGCAGTCATGCTGCCAGAAACAGGGCCGGGTCCCGCTGAGCCCCCACTCCGCGGGCTCGCTGTGACAGATCAGCCCCTTCCCGTCCGCTTGCCTGCAGGGCGGCCAGCTGGGCTGTGAGCGTGCCCTGCCCTGGCCCAGGCTTTCCGGAGGTGGCCCTGCCGGGGAGGGCCCTGGGGCAGCCTGGCTCCCGTCCTGCAGGTCTGGGGGCGTGCGGGCCGCCTGTCCTTGGCTCTGGTGGGCCCGTCTGTCCACACCGCAGCCCTCATGGAGTCTGATTCCAGGCGCAGACAGAATGGGAGGGGGCCGAGAGGAAGTCCCTGCAGGACCTGGCCCTGTGGCGGAAGGAGGTGGCCGGGCAGCTGGGGGAGCTGCGGGACAAAGTAGACAGCCTCCCCCTGCAGGTGGGCACGGGCACGCCGCCCCTCCCGCCCCTGCGGCCCTGGGACCGCCGGGGCTCCCGCGAGCCAGCTGTCCTGCGTGGCCGCCCCGTTTCAGGTGGAGGGCGTCTCGGACAAGTGCTTCTTCCACAAGAGAGACTCGGACCTGAAGATCGCGGCCGAAGGCGAGGCCAGGTGAGGGCCTCTGCCAGCGTCTGGGGGCTGCGGAGGGGCCGGCTGCCCCTCCCCCGCTGCCTCAGGCCGCACCTCCTCCCTCGGCCGCAGGGAGCAGGAGGTGGGGGCCGTGCGGCAGGAGCTGGCCGCCCTGCTGTCGTCCGTGCAGCTGCTGAAGGAGGACAACCCGGGGCGGAAGATCGCCGAGATCCAGGGCAAGCTGGCCACGGTACCACCCGCACCAGCCCCGGGCGCCCTGGTGCGCCCGCCGTGCCCCGCTGAGCCCGGCTCTGCTTAGTTCCAGAGCCAGATGGTGAGGCTGGGAGACAGCGTCCAGGCCCACAGGACCGTCCAGAACCTGAAGCTCAACGCGGAGGCCAAGCTGGTGAGGGGACGCCCCGGGCCCCGGCCGGCCGTGTGCGGGCGTCTCCGGCAGCCGGGAGTAAGCCCGTCCCCGCCCCGCCCGCAGCGCACGGAGGAGGTGGCCGCGCTGCGGGAGAGCGTGCTGCGCCTGTGGAGCGAGGAGGGCCCCTGGGCGCTGACGCTGGGCAGCAGGCGGCTGCTCATGTCCCTGGTGCGACAGCGGTTCTTCGTCAAGGACGTGGGCGCCGGCGAGCTGGCCCCCGTGAACCAGTGGGGCGTGTACCAGGCCGTGAGGTGGGCACAGGCGGCCGGCGGTGGCGGGCGGGGAGGGCGGCGGGGCCCGGGTCCCTCAGCCGCGTGTCCGGCAGGTGGCTGCGGTGGAAGGCCGTCCTCATGACGCTGGGGGCCCCGCGGAGGCCGGGACGAGGTCCCCAGAAGAGCCGTGGCCGGGAGCCTGCGGTGCTGCCCCCCCGAGTGCCCCCGCCCCAGAAATAAACACACCGGCTCCTGCACCGACGCAGCCAGAGTCCCCGGGCCCGCGGGCTGACGGCAGGGGAGAGGCCTGTCGTGGGAGCGGCCAGCTCCAGGAGGGGTCAGCGCAGCGGCCCCGCCCCTGGAGTCCAACGCCTTTCCTGTCCACCAGCCCAGCCCTGGCCAGCTCCCTTCCCGCGGTGGGCGTGGGCGTGGGCCCGCGCCCCCCCGGCCCACCGAGAGCATCCGGGCCAGGGGCGCTGAAGGGCAGGGCCCGAGCCTGCAGGCCAGTGGTGGCCTAGCTGGGGCACGCCTGGGAGGAGGTGCTGGGCATGCCCCCTGCTGCCTCTCCCCTGCAGGGGAAGCCTGTGCCAGGGGCTGCTCAGTGCAGGGCCCCCTGGGTGGGCAGGCGGCGGGGAGGGCTGCCCCCGGTGCTGACCTGGGCTGGCATGGATCTGGCCTCCCTGAGGCACAGCGCGTGGAGCCCAGCCCCGGGTCTCCGTGCAGCCCGGCCTGGGCACCGCCACCCCCCACGCGGCTCTGCCTCATTTCCTGACCTGCAGCCCAGGCCGCGGAAGGAGGCTGCTCCCTGCCTGGACAGCAGCCGTCCCCGTGGGCCGCCGTGGGTGGAGGGCTGGGGAAGTCTGCGCGCGTGGCCCCAGTGACCCTGAGCCCCTTGGCTAGGCCTCGGCCAGCTGTGGCCCCTCCAGGGCCTGGGTGCCCGGCAGCTCGGGGCCGGCCTCCGCCGACCAGCTGGCCAGCAGGTCGCTGAAGTCCGGGGTGCCCGGGGGCAGCAGGCCCAGGGCGCTGGGCGCCGGCTCCCTCCAGAAGGACCGAGGCAGCTTCCTCTGGGCCATGGGGGTGATGTGGCCGTACTTGCGCTCCAGCCTCAGCCTGCGCCCGGCCGCCGCGCCCGGCTCGCTGGGCTCCGGGAAGCGGCGCAGCCCGAAGTCGAAGAGCTCGGCCAGGGGCCCCAGTGGCGCCGCCCCCGCCCCGCCGGCACCCGGCCTGCGCGCCCGCCCCTCGGGCGTCCCGGGCGAGCAGGTGCCGGGCTCTGCGGCCCCCTCGGCCCCCAGGGGCCCGCCCGCGGCCAGGCGCTCCGGCTCCGCCCGGCAGTCGGCATACACATCTCGGGCGTCCGGGTCCTGCCCCTTGTCCTTGCGGCCGAAGTATCGCTGGATGTCGCCGCTGATGAGCTCCGAGAAGCGCAGCAGCCGCAGAGGCGACTCGGGGCTGCCGGGGGCGTGCGGGGCGGCCCCTGAGCTCCAGGGCCCCGGGCTGCAGCCGCCCGGCCCTTCATCCTCCGGCCCCAGGTTCTGGTCCTCCTCCTCTGCCTCCTCTGCCTCCTCCTCTTCCTCAGATGTTCCCAGGGGCTCGGGGGCAGGGGGCAGGAAGGGCCGGTGGGACGGCAGGGGCAGCGGGAAGCCGCACAGGGGCCTGATCACGCCGGCGGCCATCTCCTCACCTCGGGGCGGAGGCGCTGGCTGGGGAGGGGAGAGGGCAGGTCGGTGCTGAGGGCCCCAGGGATCCAGGCTGGGCCTGTGTGCACGGAGGGCAGCGCACCGGCAGCGTGGGCGTGCGCCGAGGGCAGAGCCCAGGTCGGGAGGGGAAGGGGGCCTGGCGGGAGGGCTGGGCCCTGTCCTGGCGCAGTCAGGGTCCTGGGTTGACCAGGCCCGTGCAGCCGGGGCCAGCAGGGAGGCCCGGGCCTGGGCAGCGTCTCTCAGATCCGAATCCCGAGCCCTGGCCTCCACAGTGGGGCGGAGGTGCAGGCGCCCGGAGGGTGGGACCCCTGCCCGGGAGGGTTCCCACAGCCACCTCCTGCCCCAGCCGTCTGGCCCTGGGCCGGCTCGGCCCTCCCTCCCCCGTGGTCCCCAGGGCCCCGCGGCCCCTGCCCCCCCCCCCCGCAGGCCCGGGCTCCTACCTGGCTGGGCCGCAGCTCTGCTCGGCAGGCCCGCCTCCACCTGGGCTCAAGCATTTATAGGCAGGCCCTGTGGCCGCCCAGCCTGGCAAATATTTGGCGACGGCATTGTCATCGCCGACTGGGCAAATAGAGCCCGTTTGCTTTAGCGCCCGGCAACCAGGGCCCGGCGGGGGGAGCGCCAGGGCTGGCCCCACCTGTGGGCGGCCTGCCTGGGGACCGTGGAGTGTTTGCCGGGGCCCAGCTGGCTGCACCTGGGCCCTTATCTCCGACACCGACTGGGGCCTGTGCCGGGCCTCGTCAAATAGGCGGAAAATTAAATTTCATGCTATTTTGAGTTCTGGAGTAGCCGCTCTCGAAGACGCCCTGCCCCCGCGGCTCCCCGGTGAACGGTGCTCCCTGAGGACTGGCGGGGGCGGCAGGGCAGGAGGGGGCCGGGACCACCCTCAGCCAGTCCAGTTGTGGCCCCTGCTGGCCCAGGTCTGCCCGCACCTCCTGGACCACCCAGCCCACTGCTGCCCCTGGCCTAGCCCTGGGGCCTGCGCTGAGCCCTAGGGTGGGGGCCCCTCCTGCCGGCCCCCTCTAGTCCTCCTGCTGGCCCCAGACACTGGCCCCACAGCGCTCTAGCGCCCTGGGGCTGCTCTGGGCCTGGTCAGCAACTGGAAGTCTCTGAGCGGGAGGCCAGGAGTCCACGTCGGGCGTCCCTGGGCTCTGTCCCCCTCCGCTCCGCCAGCCTCGGGAATCCCGTGCTGCCGCGTGACACCACCCAGCCCACTGAGGTCAGCTTCTGAGGGCCCAGGCAGACGTGGGCTTGAGGACACGCTCACCCGGCCCCTGGAGGAGCCACCGTGACCCCAGGTTGCCGTGTGCACGTCGTGTCCCCACAACACTGTCCCATCTCCAGGTCCTGGCTCTCCCTGTCCTGGGTCCTCGCCCCGGGGCTCCAGGCACCAGCCCCTTCAAGGGGAGTTTGGTACCTCCCGCCCCGTGACACCCCCAGCCCGTGGCGTCTGGACCACAGCTGGGCCCACGAACATCTGCCCCGCCGCCGCTGCTGTCCCTCTGGGCACCTGGACAGCAGGAGATGGGGGTGGGGGGCTGGTGAGGGCCTGCAGGATCCCCTCTCAGACCACAGGAACTGGGGGCCTGGACACCCCTGCCCTGACCTGCTGGGCAGAAGCTGGGGCTGCAGCTGCCAGGGTGTGGCCACAGCGCCCCCTGGAGGCCGCCAGAGGCAGAAGGCACCGGGCGGCTGGGGTCTGCGCGGGGCTCCTCTCTGCGTGGAGGGGCACGCGGGAGGTGCGGGGCGTGGCTTGCGTGTTGCATCCTGGCTGGCACAGGAGACCGCCGAGGCGGGGGCCCGCCTGGGAGCCACACACCCTGCTCCAGAGGACCCCGCCCCTGTGGCCGGGGAAGGGGTTCAGGGAGGAGGTCGGCTGCCCTGCTGCCCTGCCGCTGTCCCGGCCGCCGGCCTCCAGGAGGGAGGGGGCCCCGGGGGAGCCCCCGCGCTGCGGGCTCTGCACACAGGCGAGGAGCTGGGCCCAGGGATGGCGCGGGGTCCCCGGGACTCAGGCCGCTGGGACCTGTGAGCCCTGCACCGGGGAGAAGCCTGTGTGTGATTTTAGCCCCTGAGCGCGTGTGCAGGAGGCCGCGAGGGCTGGAGCTGTGGGGCCCCGCCCCCGGCCCCCGGCCCCCGGCCCCCGGCCCGGCCCGGCTCAGTCTCTGACTCTCAGGGCCTCGGGTTGTGCCGGGGCTTTTCCCTGCCGGATAAGAGGCCTTCGTGGAAACCCCAGGCTGGGGGAGAAGGCGGAGCGGGCGGGGGTCTGGGGAGGGGCGTGGGGGTGCTCTCCGGCTGGGGGAGTCGGCAGGACAGGAGCGAGTCCTCTGGCTTGAGCCGGTTCAGGCTGGGCTGGGGGCCCGGCAGGTGGGCGTTGAGCCTCCCCTTGTGTTTCTGGCGCCAGGTTGGTGGCCAGCGCATGTCCCGCGGGGCCCCAGGGCCCAGCCCCTGCTCCCCGCCCCCTCCGTGGGTCTCTTGCCAGGCCGGGGGCGGAGCGGGGTGGGGGTGGGCTGGGCGCTTCCAGAGGCAGCAGGCCTGCCAGTCGCCGCACACCGCGTATCGATCTTCCCGGGAAAATCGATAACTCCAACATGTCAGCTCTGAGTGCCGCGGTGCCTGGGAGGGCTGCGGCGGAGCCCGTCAGGGGACGTCAGGCCTCCCGAGAAATGTCTGTGTGCGGTAGATAGCGAGGGCTGGGTGTGGGTCAGGTCCCTGGGCGGGGGGCCTGGGGGACGCTGCTCCCGCGAGGGCGCCGGGGACTCCCATCTCGAGAACCCGTGGCCAGCACCAGCGATGGCCACCCCAGGCCCCCTCCCCTGTCGCCGCCTGGCATCCGTGCCGCCTCTCGGCCTGTAGACCCGTCTGTCCCTGTCCCTCCTCTTCTTGGGACACCAGCGTCCACCCTAGTCCGGGATGACCCCACTCCCACGAGCCGGATCAGCAAAGGTGCCCGTGACTGGGGGACACCGCTCACCCCGGCCGGCACTGGGCACCGGAGACCCATTTCACAGCTGGGACTCAAAGGGTTAAGTCGCCCACGTCAGCTCTCATGCCAGCCCCTGGTCCAAGGCGGCCATCACTGGCCGGGGGAATCCCTGACCCCTGGCCCCACCTGCCTGTCAGCCAGGCAGCGGCACCGACCCTGAGGGCCCTTTGATCTCCACCTCCTCCCAGAAGCCCTCCAGGCTGCCCCCCGTACACAGGGTACTCTCCCGTCCCTGCGGGGCGCGCTTGTCTGGCAGTGGTGTGGGGTGGAACAGGTGGGGCTGCCCGAGGAGGACCTGGGCAAACAGGTGCCTCTGTTGACACAGCACAGCCAGCAGGCCCAGTGGGGGGGGCTCCCCAGGGCCCGGCTCACGCCCCCAGGCTGCAGTCCCTGACCTGAGGCAGGCCCTGAGCTCGCCCCGCCCGCTGGTTCAGGGCTCCTGGCACTGAGGGTGCCGGGCAGGACCCCGCCTTTCTCCCGCCCTCCCTGGCTTCCCTGGGGCAGCAGGGGGCTGGGTGGGAGCCACACCGTACCCAGAGGGGGTGGCCGTGTTCCAGGCAGTGGCATAGCCACAGCGGCACAACGCCGGTCCCCAGAGTCCTGCACAGAGCTCCGGACGTCCTGGAGGTGTGGGGGGGAGTGAGAGGCGGCCCACGGTGCCGGGACCCCGTATCGGAGCCCTGCTAATGGCCTGGGAAGCAGCGGAAGACGGCCCACGGGCTTGGGCCCCTGCACGCCTGCAGGAGCCTGGGGTGGACCTTCAGCCTGGCCCAGGCCTGACCGTCTGGGCAGTGAACAGCAGGGGGAAGACCTGTCACTCTGCCCCTCAAATAACTAAATCTCAAATGCACGCAGGTTTTTCTTGTCTTTCCTGATGGAGACGCCTAGTGTCAGTGGAGATGAGCGAGACAGAGGCCTGGCCGGCCAGGGTAGCAAGGTTGGCCGGGGCAGGGCCTCCGTCGGGCGGCCTGGAGCCAGGGCGGCTGCCGCCCACCCGGGGAGGCGAGGGTGCGCCCCAGAGCCCAGTGCACAGTCCGCGGGGTCAGGGGTTTGCAGGCAGAACTCCCGCAGGTTCCACTCCTGGCCGCCCCGAGGCCGCTGTGGCCGGTGGCCCGCGTGCCCCAGCACAGGGGGCTGCCCCGATAGGTGCCGGCGAGGCCGATTCTGCACCGTGCAATCCTGGAGCTCCGAGGGTGCTTGGTTTCCCAGGCCCCTCACACACAGGCTCATTTCTGACTTCTTAGCTCTCACGTGCACGGATTTAGATTTTTTTAAGAATTTATTATTTATTTGAAAGCGTGGCGCCGGGGGCGGGGTGGCGTTCTTCCGGCGCGGGCTCACTCCCCAAGCCCCTGCAGCGTCTCCCAGGTGGGCGGCTCGCCCCTCCGCGGCGGCTGGAGGCTGGGTGGGATCTGTTAGGCAGGAAGTCAGCTATGAGCTTGTGTGTGTGACATAAAGGCCTAAAGAGAAGACGTCTATGTCCAGCATCAGCATCTGCTGATGACGTTCCAGGGGCGGCCGGTATTCGCATCCTGCCTGCCCCCTTCCACCCGATAACCTGCCAGGTGGGGGTCCCGCCCTTCTGCCTGACAAACCTTCCACAGTCTCCCGGTGCGGCCCAGTGTCTGCATCTCAGACACCCTGCTCTGACCCCCGTTCTCCAGGGGTCCTGCCCACCCTTCCTCTGAACCCAGGATGGCGCCAGCTAGGCTCCTCCTGTCCGATACCTTCAGGGGAAAACTCAGAAGTTTTTCTATTTACACCCAAAAAGCCCTTTGTTCCAAGAGGAGCGGAGGTGGGGAAGCAAGACCATCTCCTTAAAACCCCCGGCCTCAACCGGACCGCGCTCAGCCCTCTGCCTCTGCTGGGCCGCCAGCCTGGCCTGGCCAGGAGTGATCTCTCCACTCAACCACGAACCTCGCTCCTTCCCCCGCCCAGTGCGAGGTCCCGTCTGGAGAGGTGCCCACCGTCCTCACGGGTGTCCCTGCCCTAATAAACCTTGCCATTTTACCTCCCACCACTCTCTGTCTCGCGCCTGAATTCTTTCTTGCGCGAAGACAAGAACCCTGCCATTCCTGCCGTGACAGATCCACGCCGGGGGTCGCATGCCACGCAGGCAGAGCGCGCCCACGGAGCCACGGCGCCCGCCCCTGGATTTCAACTTTCAACAGGAAACGCGTCTCCCGCAGGGGAAGGAGGCCATTCGGAGCTCAAAGCCCTGGGAAGGAGACGATCCGGCCGCGTGCCCGGGAGGCCCTCCTCGGCGCGGCGCAGAACTACACTTCCCGGCCACCCCCGCGGCGCGCCGGGGGCGAGGCCTGGGCCGGAAGCGCGCCTCCGCAGAAGCGCGTCATTTCCGCCGCGCGCCCTGTAGTCGTGAGCGGAGGCCTGGGACGGCGCTCGGCTTCCGGTTTCGGGCGCCGGAAGTGACGCGCGCGGCGCGCCGCGGCGCCGAGGCCGGCATGAGCTGCGTGCGGGGCGCGCCGGCGGCCGGGTGAGTCCCGCGGGGCGTCGGGGGCGAGGGCGGGGGCCGGCGGCGGGCCGGGCGCTCACCGGCGTCTGTCTTCCAGGGCCGTCCGGACGCTGAGGCTGCTGGGCCGGGCGGGCCGAAGCCTGCACTCGCCGCCCGGCCTGCGGGCTCGGGCCCCGTCGGCGGCCGAGGGCGGCGAGGGCGAGGGCGAGCCTGGCCGCCCCATGCCGTTCTCCTGCAGCGGGGCCAGCCCGGCCCGCTGGACGGTGGCGCACTCGCTGGGCCGGCAGCAGCAGCGGCCGTGGTGGAAGGTGCTGCCGGTGAGCCTGTCGCTCATGCTGCTCGTCGCCTGGTGCTTCCTGCGGCCGGAGAGCGGCGCGGACCTGTGGCTGCAGCGGGTGCTGGACGGAGAGGGGCCGGGGCACGGCGGCCGCGCGGAGGCCCCCGGGGCGCGGGCCTAGCGGGGCGGCCGCGCGCGGACAGTTGTCAATAAACAGCCCGACCTCGTGGAGTCCCCGTGTCCTTGCCCGCGCGGAGCCCGTGTGTCCATCAGAAGTGAGAAGCGCCGCGGGCGCCCAGCTGGTCCCTCCCGGGTCCGATGGCGGCGCTTCCCCGCCGCCGGTCCCCCCACCCCCCCAGCCGGGCTCTCCGGGGGCTCGGGGCCCACGGAGCGGCTGCAGGGGCGCCAGGGCCAGGCGGGGCCCCCGGGGGTCTCGGCTGCGCATTCCCCCTCAGAGAGGAGCGGCCAGGGGCGCTGGTCAGGACTCCGGGGCCCGGCCCCTCCCGGGAGGACCCCACACTGCGCCCTGGGCCCCCGCCGGTGCCTCAGGTTCCTCCGGGCCGGCTCGGTGCAGACTGCCTGCGAGCCGGGGGCTCCGGGGCTGGGCTCGTCCGAGGGCGTCCCCGCTTGCTGTCCCGATTCCCCGAGAGCGCCTTGTTCTCCGGGTGGCCGAGATGTGCGGGATCCCTGCGGCCTTTGCGGAGGCCAGGGTGACCGCTTCACGCACGCCCGGCCCTCCCGGGGAGCCCCTGGCCCGGCCCCGGGGCCGAGACGGTCATCCCTGGCCCGGGCGTCCCGCGCTGCCCCCGGGAGTGGCGCGGGGCGGGACGCGGGCCCCGCAGCCGCCCTCCCTGCAGGCCTCCTGCGGTCGTGGCGCTGTGCGGAAGGAGGACGAGAAAAAAAAAGGCAAAAGCGGAGACACCCGCACACCCGCGGAACGGTGCTCCGTCGTCTGGGTTCGGGTGCGCGGGGCCGCCTCCCGGCCCGCCTCGGGCTCCACGAGCCGCGGCCTCTGGGCCTCTCGTGTCGGAACCCGGCGCGGTCCCACGGCGGGGCAGCCCGCGCCCTGGTCTCCGCCTGGGCGGGATCCGGCTGCGGGGGCGTGGTCTCGGGGAGGAGGCAGGTCTGGGGGCGGGACCTGCGGGGGCGTGGTCCCGGGAGGGGAGGCAGGCCTGGGGCGGGACCTGCGGGGGCGTGGTCATATGGGCGTGGTCTCGGGTGGGGAGGCAGGCCTGGGGGCGGGGCCTGCGGGGGCGTGGTCGCCGCGCGGGGAGGAGAGACAGGCCTGGGGGCGGGACCTGCGGGGGCGTGGTCGCCGCGCGGGGAGGAGGAGGCAGGCCTGGGGGCGTGGCCGGCGGGCCGGGGGCGCGGGTGGGCTCCGCGCGGGGAGATCCGGGGGGCGGGGGCGGCGGGCGCGGCGCATGCGCGTTGCATTGTTTGGACTGAAAATGCCGTCGGTTTCGAAAGCGGCGGCGGCGGCGAGCGCGTCCCCCCCGCAGACCGAGAAGCCGACGCACTACCGGTCAGTGCCGCGCGCCCGCCGCCCCGCGCAGCCCCGGGCGGGCGGGCGGGCGGGCGCGGCGAGCGGCGCTCTGTCCCCGCAGGTACCTGAAGGAGTTCCGCACCGCGCAGTGCGCGCTGTTCCTGCAGCGCAGGTGCGCGCGGCACCGGCCGTACACCTGCTTCCACTGGCACTTCCCTCGCCAGCGGCGGCGCAGGCCGCTCCGCCGGCGCGACGGCACCTTCAACTACAGCCCGGACGTGTACTGCGCCAAGTACGACGCGGCCTCCGGCCTCTGCCCCGACGGCGACGGGTGAGGCCGCCAGACCAGGGACCCCTCCCCTCTGGAGCTGCACGGAGACCCCGTGGGGGAGGCCGGGGGGGGGGCTTGCCGCCAGGGGCGCGGGCACTTGGGGTCGCTGACCAAGGATCAGATTCCCTGGGACCCCTCCCCTCTGGAGCTGCACGGAGACCCCGTGGGGGAGGCCGGGGGGGGGGCTTGCCGCCAGGGGCGCGGGCACTTGGGGTCGCTGACCAAGGATCAGATTCCCTGGGACCCCTCCCCTCTGGAGCTGCACGGAGACCCCGTGGGGGAGGCCGGGGGGGGGTCTTGCCGCCAGGGGCGCGGGCACTTGGGGTCGCTGACCAAGGATCAGATTCCCTGGGACCCCTCCCCTCTGGAGCTGCACGGAGACCCCGTGGGGGAGGCGGGGGGGGGGGGCTTGCCGCCAGGGGCGCGGGCACTTGTCCCGACAGACGTCTTCAAGGAGCTGGAGCAGCACGCGAGACCCCCGCCGGGTCTCACCGGGCAGCAGCGCCCTGGGGGAGGGGCCCAGGGCTGCCTCCTGTGCTCTCTGAGCGGCCCTTGGTGCGTGGTGCCCTGGTCAGGCCGTGGTCTGTGCGGACCTGTGGCTGCGCCCTGCTGCCCGGGTGGTGGGCACTGGGGCGTGTCCAGCCCCCGCCTTCCTGGAGAGCTGCTCCAGCGGTCACTCGGCCAGCTGCTGCTGTCCCCGGGCTTCGTCCGAGACTCGCGGAGCGCAGGAAACGCAGCGCGCCGGCAGGGCCGTGGGCTCCTCCGCCCGGGCCGGCGAGGGCGGTCAGTGAAGTTCCCGCATCCACGGGGAGGGGGGCCCATCCACGGGCTCTGGGGGCGCGGTGCAGGCGTCTCAGCCGCAGCACGCTGGACCCGAGGCCTGCTTCAGCAGGAGCGCTGGCCCGCTGACCGGTGCCGACGGCGTCCCCCGGCTGGCCAGGCGCCTGCCCAGCTGGGTCCCCAAGGCACACGCTGGCCCGCTGACCAGGCGCCAGTCCAGCCCTCCTCCGATTTCCTCTGCTGAGTCGAGCTCTGCCTGGGGCTGTGTCCTCCTGATCTGATCTCAGACCAGCGGGGGTCAGCGACTCCCTCCTGGCCGCAGCTGGGGCCCCGCGGGGCTGGCCAGCGGCCTCACCCTCCCTGCATGGCCCCGTCACCGCGTTCCTTCGTGCGCGGTCAGCACCCCGCGGCCACGCTGGGTGGCCGGCCTGTCCACGCGGGTCCGCCCCCGCGTCCCCCAGGCCAGCCGCCCGCACCCGCGCACCGTGATTGGCTGCCGCGGTCACGCCCGCGCCCTGCCGCGTGGGAACCGCGACTGGCCGCACGCACAGGGTCCGAGCCGTGTGGCGCCCCCACCTGGGCTGCTGGTCGGCTGCTGCTCCCCCCTTAAGGGGCGCCCTGCTGGGGGCACCCGCGACTCCTGGGAAGGCTGAGGGCGGCGTCCTGCGCGGCCACAGGCGCAGGTGACCTCAGGTGTCCTGGAGGGGCGGTGCCGTCTGTGGGGGGGACCTAGCCGCTGCAGCCCCTCAGCCCCTGGGCCTGGGGTAGGGGCCTCCCAGCCGGCAGCCTCCACCCACAGGGAGCCAGGGCGGAGTTAGGCAGTGGTGGGTGGCATCCGGCCAGGGCTTTGGGGGTCTGTGAAAGGAGGGAGCCCCAGTGTGCAGAGGCAGGGCAGTGAGGAGGCCCTGTGACCCCTGACCCCACCCTGCCCCATGACCCCTGGCCCCACCAAACCCTGTGACCACGGCACTAGCCCCTCCCCGTGACCCCTCCCCACCCCTGGCTGCCCACGGGCTGGTCTTTTTGCAGTCATTTTATTTTTGTCTTTACTGATTTCTTATCACTCTTTTTTTTTAAATAAGATTTATTTATCTGAAAGGCAGAGTTACAGAGAGGCAGAGAGAGGGAGAGAGAAAGAGGGAGAGACAGAGGGAGAGGGAGGGGGGAGCAGAGAGGGAGAGGGAGAGAGGGGTCCTCCAATGCTGGTTCACTCCCCAAATGGCCGTAACGGCCAGAGCTGAGCTGATCTGAAATCTGAAGCCAGGAGCCCCTTCCTGGTCTCCCATGCAGGTGCAGGCAGGGCCCAAGGACCTGGGCCATCCTCCACTGCACTCCTGGGCCACAGCAGAGAGCTGGATGGGAAGTGGAGCAGCTGGGACTAGAACCAGTGCCCGTGTGGGATGTCCGCACTGCAGGCTGCGGCTTTACCCACTACACCACAATGCTGGCCCCTCGTCACTCATTTTAAAAGATGTTTACTTTCGGGGCCGGTGCCGTGGCTCACTAGGTTAATCCTCTGCCTGCAGTGCCGGCATCCCATATGGGCACCGGTTCCAGTCCCGGCTGCCCCTCTTCCAGGCCAGCTCTCTGCTGTGGCCAGGGAGTGCAGTGGAGGATGGCCCAGGTGCTTGGGCCCTGCACCCCATGGGAGACCAGGAGAAGCACCTGGCTCCTGGCTTCAGATCAGCGCAGTGCGCCAGCCATGGTGGCCATTTGGGGAGAGAACCAACGGAAGGAAGACCTTTCTCTCTGTCTCTCTCTCTCACTGTCTAACTGCCTCTCAAAAAAAAAAAAAAAAAAAAAAAAAAAAAAAGTTTCCTTTCATCTACTTGAAAGGCAGAGTGAGAGGTCCTCTGTTTGCCGGTTCACTCCCTAAGTGTCCGAGGCGGCCAGGGCCGTGCCAGGCTGAAGCCGGGAGCTTCTTCCGGGTCTCCCCCAGGGGTGCTGCCCAGGGCCTGGGCCGCCCGCTGCCTCCCGAGTGGCAGCTTCACAGTGGTGCCCGCGCTCGCCCGCAGCCGTATTCTGGTCCCGCCACCCGTGTTTGCCTGCCCGGAAGACCGGGGAGAGCCTGGTGTGTCCCGCAGGCTGGCCGGGTCAGGCGGTGCAGGGCCAACGGGATTCCTCCAGCGTGGGAGGGCCGGGTGGGTTCCGGCGGCCGGCTGAGTGCGGCGGGCTGTAGTCGCCCCGTCCTGGGAGTGCGGCGGGCTGTGGTCGCCCCGTCCTGGGAGTGCGGCGGGGCTGTGGTCGCCCTGTCCTGGGAGCCGCTTGCAGGTCTGGGATGAGCGGAAGCGGGGGGGGGGGGTCCTCTGGGGGCTCTGGTTGCCCTGGCAACAGTCCTGGCTGCAGGGGGTGGCCCTGGGTGCCGGGCGAGAGCCGCAATGGAATGTGAGCCGCAGGGTTTGCTGTTTGTTTCTGGAAGAGTTAACTTGCGTTTGGAAGGCAGAATTACGGTGAGCGGGCTGAGGGTGCGAGGGGGGATGTTTTTCCATCTAGTGGCTCACTCCCCACATGGCCACAACAGCCGGGGCTGGGCCAGGGCTGGGCCAGGAGCTCCATCCGGCGGGTGCAGGGCCCAAGGACTTGGGCCATCCTCCACTGCTTTCCCAGGCCACAGCAGAGGGCGGGATCGGACATGGAGCAGCCGGGACTCGAGCCGGCTCTTGAGCGTGGGCTGCTGGCCCTGCAGGCAGTGGTTCAGCCTGCCGCTCCTCACCCCCAGCCCGGGGGCGCCGATTCTGAGCTTGGGCGCAGCCGACGCCCACCCAGAGAGCGCGGAGCGCCTGGGGGTTTGTCAGGCCGGTGCCAGTGGAGCCCGAGTTCCGCTTCCTCGCCCAGCAGGGAAGAGGCTCGGACTGGGCGGTCCCCAGGGGGCTCCTTCTGATCTGGGGCAGCCCCAGCAGGTGCGCCCAGCGCCACAGCTTGTGTCCGTCGGCTTCCAGTGGCACTCGAGCCGGCGTCCCTGCCTGTCTGCTGCCCCGGCAGCCTGGGGTCCCTGTCTGTGACCCCCACCAGGGCCAGCCTGGAGGGCACTGGGTCCCCACGCCCCAGTGCTCCGCCGCTGCCCTGGGCCCGAGCCCCTCCCTGGCTCCCTCCCTCTCAGGGTCCCGGTCTCCCCCTCCCCACTTGTCAGGGCGTCGTGCGGCCTGCCTGCAGGCCGGGCACTTGGGCCTCGCTCACAGAATCACAGGGACAGGGACGTCGGGCAGGGTGACTGCACGGGGGCCGCGTCCTGTGTAGCTGAGGGGCTTCCGTGAGCTCTGGGGGGGTCCCGGGCGGCCCCAGGTGGGAGCAGGGGCAGAGCCTCTGGGCCTCTTCCCTGCCAGGTGTCCCTACCTGCACCGCACCACCGGGGACACGGAGCGCAAGTACCACCTGCGCTACTACAAGACGGGCACCTGCATCCACGAGACGGACGCCCGGGGCCGCTGCGTGAAGAACGGGCCGCACTGTGCCTTCGCGCACGGCCCACTGGACCTGCGCCCGCCCGTGTGTGACGTCAGGTGAGCCGGGCCTGGCCCCGGTGGGCCCTGGTTCCGTCTCCGCCCCTGCGGGGTCCCCTCCTGTGTCCTGTGACACAGCCCAGCCGGAGCGCCAGCTCTCCCCGCAGCTGGGTGGGCACTGGGGGGCCCGGCCTCACCTGCCGGGCAGCCACACACAGTGACCCGCAGGCGGCCGAGCCCGGGGCCGCAGTGACCCCGGCGCAGCCCTGACCCCATGTTGCTTGGCCGCAGGGAGCTGCAGGCGCAGGAGGCCCTGCACAGCGGGCAGCCCGGCGGGGGAGACGCCGGCCCCGACCTGCAGCCCGGGGTCCTGGCGAGCCAGGCCATGATCGAGAGGATCCTGGGCGAGGACCCCCGGTGGCAAGGTAACCCCAGGGCAGCTGCTGCCGCTGCCGGACAGGCCAGCCTCGGGCATCGCCTCAGACCCGCTGAGCCCGTCTGTGTCCCCAAGGTGGCCCGCGGGCCAGGAGCTGGGGACCGGGTAGCAGGTGGCCCCATGGGACTGGAAGCCAGGGTCCGTGACCCTCACCCCTGCCGGGGTCGCAGTGGGGTCAGCATCGACCTAGCGCTGGGCTGGGGTGAGGGGCAGCGGGGGACACCCTGGCCCGGCCCTGGGCGGCTGTGCCACACGCCTGCGCCCCTCGTGGTTCCGCCGCGTCCTGGGCCGGGCCCTGGGCGGCTGTGCCACGCGCCTGCGCCCCGCTTGGTTCCGCCGCGTCCTGGGCCGGGCCCTGGGCGGCTGTGCCACACGCCTGCGCCCCTCGTGGTTCCGCCGCGTCCTGGGCCGGGCCCTGGGCGGCTGTGCCACGCGCCTGCGCCCCGCTTGGTTCCGCCGCGTCCAGGGCCGGGCCTCTGTGTGGTCAGAACAGCAGCTCTGGATCCCCGGGGACTGTCGGAAATGCGGTTTCGGGCCCTCCCCGAGGCCGCGTGGCAGCCTTGGGAGCCAGGAGCCTGGCTTTGGGGGTTCTAACGTGAAGCCGATATTTTACACCGCGCCATTTTGCAGCACTGGTCTCACTCGTGGGCTTGTGTCACCACTGCCTCTGGTTCCAGAACATTCTCTGCCCTGCCGCCAGCCCATGTGCTGGGCTGCGTGTGCCGCTGGCGTCACTGTCTCGGCCGGCAGGCGGGGCAGCTCTGTGGCTGTGGTCATTCCAGTGACAGTGGCCGAGGTTCTGTTTTTGTTTCATTTAAGATTTATTTATGTATTTGAAAGGCGGAGTTACAGAGGCAGAGAGAGAGAGACAGAGAGAGAGGTCTTCCATCCGCTGGTTCACTCCCCAATGGCCACAACGGCCAGAGCTGGGCCCATGTGAGGCCAGGAGCCAGGAGCTTCTTCTGGGTCTCCGACGCGGGTGCAGGGCCCGAGCACTTGGGCCATGTCCACGGCTTTCCCAGGCCACAGCAGGGAGCTGGACCGGAAGTGGAGCAGCAGGACTGGGACTGGCACCCGTGTGGGATGTGGGTACTGGAGTGGCAGCTCTGGGCTTCTGTGGCCTCCCTGCGGGGAAGGCGCTGCCGTCCAGCGGGGGCGGGGGCAGGATGGCCGCCAGCTTCCCAGCCCCGCCGCCCTCTGGAGCAGTTCCCCCGGGAAATCGCGGTAGGCGCGTGGGCTCCGGAACCAGAGGGGTGGCGAGACGCCCGCCCGTGGGCAGGAGGGCGCAGTTTTTGGCTGGGCTCAGATTTGCAGGACATTGGCCGCCTGTGGGGGGGCAGCCCTCACCCCTCGGCTAAGCCTTCCGGCCCTTCCTCTTCGGCCACCTTTAAAAATCTCAGACATTCTCCCGAGAGGAGGAGAGGAGCGAGACGGAGATGGACAGGGAGCGCTGCCCGCCTGGCCTCCCGGGGCTGGGCCGCGCGCGTGGTCACCGGGGCCGTCACGCGTGGCTTCCTCATCACAGCCGTGTCTGCCAGCAGCGCCTCAGCCCGCGTCCCGCGTCACCCGGGGCAGCCCCTCCTTTGTGACTCCTACACGCGCTTGCGCTCCGTGTCCCGCGCTGGGTTACGCAGGCGCCGCGTGTTCAAGGCCTTTCTCCTTCAAAACCACGTGTGAGAGGCGGGGGGGGGCCTTCCGTGTGCTGGTTCACTCCCCCGGTGCCGGCAGAGCCGACCCAGAAACACCCTGGTCGCCCGCGTGGGCGGCCGGGACCTGAGCGCTGGGGCCGTTGGCCGCTGCAGGGTGCGCGTGGACAGGCCCCTGGGCTCTGAGGGCTGTGGGTGACGGGCCGCGCCTCGCTGTGGGCTGAGAGGAAGCCGCGGCAGCCCAGGCCTGAGGTGACCCGCCGCAGCGGCTTGCCCGGGAGGAAGTCCGCGAGCTTCCCGACCCCCGGCCCCCGGGTCTCCTCTGGCGGTGCCTGGCCCTCGGCAGCCCGTGGGCAGGCACCGAGTGTCCACGGGGCCCCGTTCCGCAGACGCCAGCTTCGTGCTGGGCAGCTACAAGACGCAGCAGTGCCCGAAGCCGCCGCGCCTGTGCCGCCAGGGCTACGCCTGCCCGCACTTCCACAGCGGCCGGGACCGGCGCCGCGACCCCCGCAGGTTCCGGTACCGGTGAGTGCGGGGCTCGCGCCGTGGGCTGGCGATGGGAGGAAGGCTGAGGCCTGTTTCCCGCCGCAGCCGCTGCTCCCAGGAGCCCAGATCCCTTCTGGGAAAGCGGCAGAGAGTGCGTGGCCGGGGACACCTGCCTGTGACCCCCGAGCGGCAGGGCGGGAGCTGCCTGTGGAGGGTGGGCCGGGCACGGCACGGGGGTGCGCTCCTCGATTCCGGCCTTGCTGAGGACGAAGGCTCTCACTCGGCCCAGCGCGTGCCACCTGCCCGTGTCCTGAGGCCACCCCGTCCACAGGTCCACACCCTGCCCCAGCGTGAAGCTTGGTGACGAGTGGGGGGAGCCCTCGCGGTGCGACAGCGGGGACGCCTGCCAGTACTGCCACTCACGCACGGAGCAGCAGTTCCACCCCGAGGTAGGCCCGGCCCGGCGCCCACAGCGTGGCTCGTGCCCCCCGGGACTCGATTCAAACCGGCCTAGGAGGTGGCACCTGGAAGGGTCCCCGCTGGGCTGGCTCACGAAGGCCTGGCCGACGGGTGGGCGGGGCTGTCTGCCCTGGCTCGCAGGAGACAGTGTGGGGGCGGGGCCGGGCTGGAGGCTGCTGTGCCACCCCTCCCCCGGGTCCCGCGAGTGGGGTCCCGTGCGTCTGTCACGCTGGATGAAGGGCAGTGACCGGGTCCGGGGGTGGACACGCGTGTGCGTGTGTGTATGCGCTCCTGGAGCCCTGGGAGGTGCCTGTGGGGGTGGACGGCGCTCAGCCCTCCCCCGGGACCCTCGTCCCTCACGGCCCCGCGCCCCTCGACTCCGGCCCCCAGATCTACAAGTCCACGGAGTGCAACGACACGCGCCAGACCGGCTCCTGCCCGCGCGGCCCCTTCTGTGCCTTCGCGCACGCCCAGAGTGAGTACGGCTGTCGGCCCCCCCGGGCCGCGCCAGCCGGCCGGGGCTCTGTCCCCCCGGGGCAGGCGCGCCGGGGCCTGCACCTGCCCCGGGAGGTGAGCCAAGTCCTTTGCCCCACACCTGCCATGCCACACCACACACACCCGCCATGCCACACGGCCACCGTGCCACACCACACACACCTGCCACACCACACCCGCCATGCCACACGCCCACCGCGCCACACCACACACACCCGCCATGCCACACCACACCCGCCATGCCACACGGCCACCGTGCCACACCACACACACCCGCCATGCCACACCACACCCACCGTGCCACACGGCCACCGCGCCACACCACACACACCCGCCATGCCACACGCCCAGTGTGCCACACCACACACACCCGCCATGCCACACCACACCCGCCATGCCACATGGCCACCGTGCCACACCACACACACCCGCCATGCCACACCACACCCACCGTGCCACATGCCCACCGCGCCACACCACACACTCCTGCCACAAACTACCACCCTCTGCTCACCTCGACTTCCCAGGGAAACCCCAGAGCCAGCGCGCTGGTGTCATCGGGAGCTGGGGCTCAGGGTGGTGGGCGTGGCTGGGAACCTGCACTGGACGCAGCCCCAGAGCCCCGTAGCCTCCCACACAGCCCCACAGACTCCCCATAGCCCCCATAGGGCCCCCCTGCCTCCGAGCGCTGGGCGCTGGGCCCTGCATTTCCTTGAAGCCGGGACTGCTGGCTGCTCTTACCCCGGAGCATGCGCTGTCACACGGTGTTGGGCGGTGGTGGCTCCCTGTGCTGGCCCGCAGGTGCGGTGCTGCCCCTCCTCCGGCCATAGCTGGAAGGGCTGAGGGCACGAGGCCAGGTGTGGGCGCGGCCCTGGCGTGTGGGCGCGGCCCTGGCGTGTGTTGCTGCCAGCCCCCCCCCACGCCTGGTGCCCCTTTCTCGGCAGAGAGTCTCGGGACCGCGAGCGACTGGGGCTGCCCGGACCCTGGCCCCGCCCGCAGCGCCTCAGCCTCCGGCGTCCAGCTTGCACAGGTGAGTGGGCGTGGCTCCGTGGGAGCAGAGCCGCGGGAACTCAGGTGGGGGTCTGCAGGGGACGTGGCTGCGGGCCCTTGACCTGTGGTCAGGAGTCTGGGGAGACCCTGTGCTCGTCCTCAGAGGGCCCCAGCGGGTGAGCTGCTGCCACAGGCAGTGGTCGTAGGGGAAAGAGACCCCTGGGGGAGGTGGGAGCCTGGGGTGGGGGGAGGTGGTAGCCTGGGGGAGGTGGGAGCCTGGGGTGGGGGGAGCCCCGGGGGAGGTGGGAGCCCTGGGGTGGGGGGAGGTGGGAGCCCTGGGGTGGGGGGAGGTGGGAGCCTGGGGTGGGGGGAGCCCCGGGGGAGGTGGGAGGTGGGGGCGTGGTGGGAGGTGGGAACCTGAGGGGAGGTGGGAACCCCGGGGGAGGTGGGAGCCTGGGGTGGGGGGAGCCCCGGGGGAGGTGGGCACAGGCCGGGGGCGCCCCTGTGCTCGGGCGCTGTCCAGGTGGCCACGGCTGTGTTCCTGTCAGTGGGCCTGTGTGTTAGGTGGCCTTTGTCTTACTGAGTGAGGACTGAAAGCTGTCCTCCTTACCTGTGGGAAAGGCGCTGCAGGCGAGGGCTCCTCCCGCTGGGTCACTCCCCGAGCGGCCACGGCAGCCGGGCTGGGCCAGGCCAACGCCAGGAGCCTGGAGCTGCCCCGGGGCTCCCCCAAGCACAGTGGCGCCTTCCCGCGTCCCGTCCCGGCCTCAGAAGGCTTAGAGCCCACCCTGGCGACTTCCTCGTGGTCGAGTGACCCCTGGTTCCAGGCTTCGGGGGAGGCGGCTCAGCTGGGCCGGCCCGGCGCAGGGGACCCAGCCCCCGTGCGCCTCCGGGGCGGCTCTGCTTGCTGCCCCCGCCCGTGGGCCCCGCGTCCCCCCCAGCCCGCTCCTCCCCAGCGTCTCCTCAGGCAGCCGCTTCTCAAACCCAGCGGAGGGGGGCAAGAGGGGCTGCTGATGGTTTTGAGGGCGATCAGTAAAGACCCAGAGGTGTGGGACACAGTAACGGGCCCGGGGTGCGCTGGGGCAGCCGGGCCGCCTGGGCGTGGATGAGGGCTCGCTCTTGAGCCCGTGGGGGGTGGGGCGGGGCGGGGGGGTCCTCGGCCCCTCCCAGGCCGAGCCGCGTCCTCCCCGCTCCTCCCACAGTGTCAGTGGCCCCTTACGAGCACCGGGAGGAAGCCTGGCCAGGGCCGCCTCTGAGCGGTGTCGCTGGTGGCCGAGACCCCGCTGTCCCCATCCCAGGAGCCGGAGGGCGTCGGCCAGTGCTGAGCCTGGCCCTGCCACAGCCGGCTGCTGGGGTCCCCTCCCCGAGCTCCCAGCTCCAGCGCCCCTGGGCCTCGGCCATCTGGTCAGGGGGGCCTGGGGCCTCTGCCCTGGGGCACGCTGACCCCAGGAAGTCACCCCCACCCCCCCGAGGCCGCGGGGCCCTGGCGTCTTCTGCCTTGCCAGCCCTGGAGCACAGGGTCCAGCCGCGCCCGGCCCCGGGGTGGCCGAGGGCTGGCCCAGCCGCGCCACCTCTGGCCAGAGACCCTGGAAGCAGGGACGTGTTCAGCCATGCTGCAGCAGCGCTGTGTCTGGGGGAGGGGTTGCGCTGGGGGGTGGGACGCGACTCCTCCGAAAGGGGAGAGTTCAGGCAGGGGTTGGGGCGTGACGTGGGCTTCCTGTGTGGGCACCGGTTCAAGCCCTGGCCGCTCCACTTAGGATCCGGCTCGCTGGCCTGGGCCCCTGCCCCCACGTGGGAGGCCTGGAGGAAGCTCCTGGCTCCCGCCTGGCCCAGCCCTGGCCGGCGCAGCCGTCGGGGGAGTGAACCAGGGGACGGGAGACCTCTCTCTGTAACTCTGGAGTTCCAATAAATAAATGAATCTTTAAAAAGAAGAGAAGGAAAGACGGGGGCGGGGGGCATTGTGCGGTGGGTTACGCTGCCGCCTGCGAGGCCGGGTGCCTGCGTGAGCCCAGTGCTCGGGGCCTGCGCCCACGCGGGAGACCGGGAGGAGCTCCCGGCACAGCCCCGGCACAGCCCCGGCTGTCGGCTGTCGTGGCCGGGACGCAGCGGTGGGAAGAGTGCTCTCGCTCTCGCTCGCTCTCGCTGTAACTCTGACTTTCAAGTCAGTCAGTCTTCAAAAAGTTAAAAAAAAAAAGGGGGGGGGGCAGGGGAGGAAATTGACACGGACTGTGCCGTGGGTGACCTTTGACCCCGCGTCAGCGGCTGGGGCTTGAGCGAGGCAGGTCCCTGGTCAGGGTGTGGGCAGCATGGCCGTCTCCTGAGGCCCCGTCCTGGCCTGACCCTGTGCAGCCGTGTCGGGGTCAGGGGTCGGCGTGGAGCCAGTCGCTGGAGGACCTCACGTGTGCCGGGCACCTGGGGCGGTGGACGGGTGGGGGCCGAGGAGCGGCACGGGCGCGGTGCTGGTGGCCGCTGGGCGCTGGGCGCTGGGGACGGCGGGTTCCCGGGGAGGCTGCCTTGCAGGCGGCTGGGGCGGGTGCTGGGAGCAGGGGCCCCAGTTCTGACTCCTGCTGACGGGACCCCCCCCAACCCTCAGGGAGGGGCGAGAGGCGGCGTGGCCCTGGGAGGAGGGCTCTCCAGTCTGGGGTGGAGTCAGCGGGGCCTCGCCTCTGCCCGGTGCCTGTGTGGGGCCTTACCCACCCGCCCCGTGTGCACGGGGAGGGGGCTGGAGGCAAAGCTGCCGGTGCCCCTGGCATCAGCCTCAGCCCAGGTCCGGCCCCTCTGGGTTAAGGGGTGGGGGTGGGAGGAGGGCGGGGCCAGAGGCCGCCGTGGGGTTGCTGGGTCTCCTGGAGGTGGAGCTTGGGTGGGGGTCGCGGAGGGCGGCAGCCGCCTGCAGCAGTTTGGGCTCCGGGGTCCCGGGCTCTGCACCGGGGCGGGAATGCAGGGGGAGGGGCTGGCAGCGTCCCCCAGGTGCCCGCCGGCCGGGCCCCAGGCTCTCCGTCCCCGTGCTGCTCTGGGGCGGAGCCAGGTCCTGGCCCAGCTGTGCGCGCTGACCTGGCAGTGACCTCGAAGGGGGTGCGTTTCCCCCGCCCCCACCCATGGCACTTGTTCCAGCTCCTGCTGGTTCTCCCCACTCCCACCCTGACGCCACCTGCCCGTCACGAGGCCGCAGGACCCGCCGTCCGGGCACAGGGAGGAAGGTGGCAGTCGGAGGGCTTGTCTGCTGGCCCCGGCAGGTGCAGAGCAGACCCCGTGGCTTCACTGGGGAGGGCACTCGCTAGCGGCCCCGCCATCTCCTTCTGCCGTGGCCCGTGTGCTGGGTGCAGGCTGCCCGTGCCCCTGGCCCGTGTGCTGGGTGCAGGCTGCCCATGGCTGTGGCCCGTGTGCTGGGTGCAGGCTGCCCGTGCCCCTGGCCCCCGTGCTGGGTGCAGGCTGCCCGTGTGCCCATGGCCGTGGCCCATGTGCTGGGTGCAGGCTGCCCGTGCCCCTGGCCCGCGCGTGCGGTCGCCTCTCCCCAGGCAGAGCACTGCTCACCGTGTCTGTTTTTGGCAGAGCCACCTCGCTGTGTTTGCAGTGGCCTCCCCGCGGGCTGCCAGCGTCAGCTCCAGTGTGGCGTCCAGCCTGGGCTCAGGTAGCTCCTCCCCCACGGCTCCGCCCGCCCTGCCCGGCCGCGCCCTCCCACGGGACCCCGCCCCAGGTAAGTGCACCTGCCTGTGTGCCGCTGGGGGCAGGGACGCGGCTCTGCAGCCCCTAGGGAGCCACAGTGCAAAGGCTGTGCTTGGTTATTGGAGAGGCAGAGAAACGCAGGAGAGATTTTCTGTCTGCTGGTCCCTCCCCAGAGGCTTGCAAGGGCCAGGGCTGGGCCAGCGTCCAAGCTGGGACCCAGGTCTCCCTCGCAGGGACAGGCACCCAGCGACCGAGCCAGCACTGGCTGCCGGCCGTGAGACCCAGGCCCGCTGAGGTGGGGGGCCGGCATCCGGCATCCTCGCTGCGTGGTGAGAAGGGAGTTGTGGGCCAGCAGGGGGCACAGCTGTGGCAGCCGCGCCGGCCAGCATCGCCCACCTGGCTGCCAGGAGTCCTTGTGGGTGGGGGTGCTGGTGACCAGTGCGCCCGGAGCTGGGCTGGGCTGACCCGTCGGGGCCTGGAGCCCGGCTTTGCCCAGGGGGTCTTGCAGAACGCCTGGAGTGGGCAGGACAGCGGCAGGGGCAGCCTGCGACCCCGGCCCGTCTGGGTGCCTGGGTGGAGCTGGCACCTGGGGCACCCCGTGAGTGCACAGGTGCCCGGCGACCGCTGGTGGGGTGCGCGGGCGGCCTGGAGTGCCAGCTCCTCTGTCCCTGGTTGAGGGGGGCGGTGCCCCGCGGGGGGGGGGTCCTGGGTCACCCCTGCCCCCTCCTGCTGGGAACCCCGGGGGGAGGGGCCCTGTGGCAGAGCTCGGGCCTCAGACGGTGCCGCAGTGTGGGACGTGCAGCGGGGATGGGCGCCGTGCTGACCCCTGACCCCCGCCCTGGGAGGACATCAGTAGCTAACAGACACAGGGCTGCGCGCAGCACCGCGGGGGTCCTGGAGCTGGCGCACCCTGCAGAGCTGGGGGCAGGGCCGACGCCCAGGGCCCCCCACTCACCCGAGGGGCGAGCCCTGCACAGCCTGGAGCCCACCGCCTCCCCTCAGCTGGGCCCCAGGTGGCACTGTCCAAGCGGGGGCAGCCCTGGTGCTGCAGGGTGCTCGGGCCTGTCCCCCTGTCGCCCCTTCTGCCTGCCTTGGAGCTCCGCGTTGGCTCCAGGACCAGGGTCCACCCCCTGCCCACGCCCAGTCACCCTGGCCGTGCCCCGATCCTGTCAGCTCCTGTCGGGACTTCCTGGCCTGCAGTTGGGGCGCACAGGTCGCGGGGGGGGGGGGTCCGTGAGTGGGAGACCCCGCACCCCGGGAGCTCGTCCCCTGTGAAGTGGGCGGGGACGGCCGAGACCCTGAGCGCCCCGAGTGCGGGGAGGCAGCTGGACAGGGAGCTGGGTGCCCTGCGGGTCGTGCGGGAGCGCGCGCGGGTGCTGGGTGGCGGGGAGGCGCTCGGCAGGGACTGGAGGGAGGCGGCATCGGCGCACACCCCGAGCAAGTGCGGGTGGGCGCCGGGCGCTGTGCGCGTGCAGACCGGGCACGGGGCGGGGCCCACGGGGCCGCGTCACGCGGAGGGCGGGCCCGCGTGGGTGGGCGGGGTCGCGGCGGGCACTTGGGCTGCGCTGCGCGGGCGGGGCGCGGGCCGGGTTTGAATCGGCGGCGGCGGCGGTGCCGGGCGGCGGCGGGCGTGAGTCAGCAGCGCCGGGGCCCGCCGCGCGCCCCTAGGGGCGACCTCGCCGCCGAGCGCGCCCGTCCCGGAGCCGGCCGTGCGCGCGCCGCTCGCGGCCCCTGGGGTCGGGGTTGCCCGCGCCCCGAGCGCAGGGCCGGGAAAGCGCTGTGTCACGGCGGCCGCGGGCCTCGGCCGGCGCCGCGTGCGGGTGTCCCGACCTCCCCGGGCGGGGTGAGGCGGCGCCAAGGCTGCGGGGCGGGGGCGGGTCGCCCGGCTCGCGCGGCGTCGGGGGCCTGCTGGCCCTGCTCGCCCCGCCCCGCCCCGCGCGGAGGCTCCCTGAACACCTGTGCTCAGGTAAGCGCAGGCGAGGGCGGGAGGCCGCGGCGCCGCCGCCGCCCCTGAGCGGGAGCACCTGTGCTGAGTCACCGCAGCCTGGCGCGGGGAAGGCGCACCGCTCCCCCACCTCCTCGCTCGGGGCTTGCGCCGCGTTTGTGCGGGTCACGGAGGCGAGGCGGGCGCTCTCCCGGCCCCAGTGCCGCCACCGCGGCCGGGTTCCCAGGCCTGGCTGCCCGCGTAGTCCAGGGCCGGAGCCGCCCTGCACAGGCCTCCAGGTGGCCAGCGGGAAGAGGCATGCGCTCCCCCGGGGGTGGGGGGAAGCTGGCGTGGGGGCCGTCACTGCCTGAGGGTCCCCCCGGGACAGCAGGGCCCTGGGCTGGTGGCTGATGCTCCCCCTGCACGGCCACAGCCCTGCGGGCAGCACAGGCCTCTCCTAGGTGCAGGGAAGGGGGGGCCTGGGCTGGGGGTCCTGCAGGGGTGGGGGTCAGCTGTGTCCCAGAGCTGCGGCCCTGAAGGGAAGGCGGGAGGGGCTGGAGGTGGGGGGCTGCAGGGCCCCAGGTGCACCCACAGCAGAGGGCAGCGGCTCCTCCAGGCCTCCCCTGGGCTCTGCAGGTGGCACTGGTCAGGGAGGGCGGGCACTCGTTGGGCGGCTCCCGGCTGCCCCCACTGCTGCGGGCGGAACCACGTCCCAGCGCTGACTCCGAGGACAGTGGCTGCCTGGGAAGTAGGTAGGCTGGGGTGCAGCCCAGGTCACCCCCACCCCAACAGTGCTCCCGTGAAGACGGGCAGAGTGGGGCAGGCAGGCCCCACCGAGGTTGGGCTGGGGTGGGGGCCCCGGGGTGCTGTGTTCCAGGGGGAGTCGGGCGGCTTCCCCCAGGACGGGCCTGGCGGAACGCGGCGCTGCTGGGGCCCTGGGCTCCAGTCTCGGGGTCTGGGCCTAGCGCCCCCGTACCTGCCCCCCATGTGGCTGAGGTGGTCCCGAGTGCTCTTGAGCCACACATGGCCGGCCCACGGGCACCCACGGGGCTGAGCAGTGCTGACCACCGGTCTGCAGCCCGACTCAGCCGCTGCCTTCCCTCAGGCTCACGTGTCCCTGTCCTGTCTCTCTGTGGCCACTGCGTCCACACGTCCCTGCCCTGTCCCTGTGGTGGGGAGGCGCCTCCCCGGAGTCTCAGCTGTGCGCTCGGCGGGCAGGGACCTGGCCCAGGGCAAGCAGGCGGCAGCAGGGCCCTGTCCTCCCCTGGGCACCGCCGGCTCCGGGACGGCCCCTGCAGGCAGCCCAGCCCTGGGGTGCAGGTGTGCCCGGGGAGGTGGGAGCCCCGCAGGGACACGGGCAGCAGCGTGCCCCCCGGACGGCAGCAGGGGGAGATCTTCCCCGCCCTGCTCCACTCCCGAGCCAGGCCACCGGATGTGAGCCCCGTGTCCTGGCATGGGTGGCCGGGACCATCACTGCCGCCCCCAGAGCCACGTGGGCCCGAAGCTGGTGTCGGGGCGGAGCCGGGGCTGACCCAGGCCCTGTGACACGGGGTGTGGGCCGCTCCACCTTGACTGCAGTGACAGATGCCTGTCCCACCTCCTGGCTTCATGCGGGGTCAGGGGCCAGGTGTGGCCTTGTGGGCTAAGCTCCGCCTGCAGCGCCCGCACCCCACGTGGGCGCTGGTTCCCCTGCTCGTGGCCGGGGAAGCAGCAGATCATCGAGAGCTTGGGCCCTGCGCTCATGGGAGGCCTGGAACACGCTCCTGGCTTCAGCCTGGCCCAGCCCGGGCTGTGGCAGCCATTTGGGAAGTGAAGCAGCGGATGGAAGACCCCCCCCCCCCCCTCATTCTGCCTTCCAAATAAATAAAAATATTTTTAAGAGTGGGGTTAGGTGACTGCACTGCACAGGGGCCGTGGAGGGCACTCGGTGAGAGCCGCGACCCCGAGGTGGGCCGTGCACTCCTGTAGACGTGCTGAGCCTTGGCCAAGGCGGGTGGCGCTGGCCCCCAGTGCGTCCCAGGCGCTCCTCACGTGCAGTCCTGGCTCTCAGGCCAAAGGTCACGTCCTCTGGCCACAGCTTCAGCCCCAGGGAGGGGCCTGGGGCCTAGGAGGGCTCCCCTGCAGGACGGGAAGCAGGCGGCGGCTGAGGCCCGGGACCCTGCTGGGTGCTGTGGCCACGGGGAGGCCTGTGGGGCTGTGGTCTCTGGAAACCCGCGTGCCGCGCAGCTGCTGTGTTGCTGGCGAGCGGCGGGGTCGTGTGCCCCGAATGCCTGCTGGGGGAGGAGCTGAGCCCCTTGAGCTGTGGCCAGCGGCCTGCGTGGGTCGGGCTCGGCGCCCCGGCCGCTGGGTGTGCAGCTCTTGTCCGGCACCAGGCTGACACCCGGCGTTGTCTGGCAGGCTCGGCGTTAGACTTCCGTCTGGGCGAGCCAAACACCGGGTTGCTGCACAAAGACCTGGCGGGGCAGGACGGCCTGGAACTGGGACCTGCAGGTGAGGCCGGGCGGGGCCCAGCACGGCCTCCCCTCCCCCTCTCGGCTCCCGCAGGACCGTGACCCGGGCACAGTGACCACTGCTCTTTAGCTGAGTGCAGGTGCTGGGCGCCCCGCCCCCCGGGGCCTGCCCGCACCTGAGCTGTGGGGGCGTGGCCCCGCCCTGGCCGGCAGGAGGCGGTGAGCTGCGGGGGCGCCTTGCTCACCCCTCCCTCCCTCCCGCCCTCCGCACGCAGGTCCCGGGGCACTGGCCGGCTCAGCGCCCGGCACCGCCCTGGGCCACCCGCCCTGCTCCCCGTCGCCGTCCTCCTCCCCGCGCAGCTCGCTCACCTCGGCCATGACGCCCCCCCAGCAGCCGCCGCCCCCCAGCTCCGAGCCGGGCTCGCGGGGCTTGGGTGAGTCCCTGCCTGCTGCCCCGTGGCCGGCCACGTGTGGACTGCGAGCTGTGGGGAGCCAGGGGTCCTGGGCTTCCTTTCCCCTTCTGCCTAGGCCCCCACGGGGCTGGGAAGACGTGGGCGGCCGGCTCGGGGCGCCAGGGCCCAATCCCCAGTAGCCAGCAGCGGGGTGGGCGGCAGGAGGCGCCTCGTCCCCACCCAGTGCCGTCACCCCCCCCGCCCGGCAGGTCTGAATGGCGTCCCCGGGAGCATCTGGGACTACGTGTCCAGCAGCTTCTCTCCCAGCCCGTCCACCGCCCTGAGTGCTGGCCCCACGTCCTCGAGCGCCAGTCCAAACGGCACGGAGCTGGCCCGAGTCCGGCGGCAGCTGGACGAGGCCAGGAGGACGATCAGGCAGTGGGAAGAGTCCTGGCAGCAGGTCAAGCAGGTGAGGGCCGGGCCGGGCCCGCGGGGTGGGTGGGGGTGAGGGCGGCGCGGGCTGCCCCTGCACCTGCGCCCCTGCTTGCAGGCCTGCGACGCGTGGCAGCGGGAGGCCCGGGAGGCCCAGGAGCGCGCGCGCGCGGCCGACAGCGACCGGCAGGCGGCGCTGCGCAGGAAGGCGGCGGCGGAGGCGCAGGTGCAGCAGCTGCGGGAGGAGCTGGAGGGGCTGGGCGTGGCCTCGCTGCCGGACGTGGGCGCCATCCCGCTGCCCCAGCTGCACTCCCTGCAGACGCGGCTGCGCCTGGACTTGGAGGCCGTGGACGGGGTACGTCTGCGGGCGCGAGCGGAGGGCCCCTCGTCTCCCGTCGGGCCGGCCCCACCCTTGCCCTGTGGGGTCTTGAACACCTGCCCGCCTGCCTGGCGCTGAGCCCCGCCCCGGTGTCTCCCCACCAGGTGATCGGCCAGCTCCGTGCCAAGCAGTGTGTGGCTGGCGGAGAGGCGGCCCGGGGCGGCCCCTGCGAGCCGCGTGCCGCCAGCACCCCCAGGTGCTCGCCCCCTCAGTGGTGAGCCTGCGGGCAGCGTGTTCTCCCCAACCCTGCTCCGGGGAAGAGCTGAGCGAGCGTGGGGCTGGGCGTCCGCGTTGCTCGCGCTGTGGGTAGCAGGTGCGCGTGGGGGCGGCAGAGCGCCGGGCTCCCCGCTGGGACGCCGTCCACAGGCAGAGTGGCACTGGGGGCCCCCGCCTGGGCCTGGCTGTCATCGGGCGGGGTCCACCCCCAGCCCCGCGTGTGCACACACACTGGGGTGGTCCCAGGCCAGCGTGGCTGGGACCCGTGCCTGCCTGCGCCTTGGGGGAGGGAAGCAGGGCCCGCGTTCGGATGTGATGGGGCCCAGTCTTCTCCCAAGGTGCCTGGTGGCCCCCTCCCCCCACCCAGGACCCCCACGATTCCTGGGGCCAGGGTCCGAGTGCAGGCTGTTCCACTGGCGCGGTCACCCACCTGTGTCCAGCCAGGAGCGGCGGGAGGCCCACCCTGCGAAGCCTGGGTGCCCGCCCTGCTGGGAGGCAGCCCCGGAGCCCAACGCGGGGGGTGGGTGGGGTGGGGGTGTGGACAGCTCGTGGCCCCTGCGGCTCTGGGTGCAGCTGCGTGTGTGGTGCGGAGGACCTAAGGTGGACTTGGCCTCTGTCGCTCCCGGGTCCACGAGCAGTCTGTCCTTCCCGCGGCCGCACCCTGCTGTCTGCACTCCCCAGGCCCCAGGTCAGCCCCGCTCCGCCCGAGTCCCCCCGGGTGACCAGGCTCAGCGGGGTGTGAGGGCCTGGCCCCAGTGTGGGGCGGTGTCCGCGGCGTTCGGCGTGTGCGGAGTCTCGGCGGAGTGAGTGTCGATGGCGCCATCGTCCCTTGTCGAGAATGAACGGTTCGCAGCCGGGGACACGCGGGTAAAGTTTTTACACTGTGGCTTTTACGCGATGGCTTACAAATTTAATTATTTTTATCAACACGGAAATGAATTAAAACTCCAGACCGCCCCTCTGCGTCACTGGGCCCGCCGGCCCGCCCCTCACTGGCCGACGCCCTGCAGCCCCGCACGGCCGGGCAGCGGCTCCGAGTCTGTCCCCGCCGCCCGGGCCAGGGCGTGCGGGACGCCGTGCTGGCTCAGCAGGCCCCTGAGCCGCGCGACCTCCGAGGACAGCTCCGCGTGCGCCTGCGGGGGGGGGGGGGTGTCGGGGGTCAGGCAGCGCCTGGGGGGCGGGCCCAGGGCCGCCTCCCCGGCCTCTACCTGTCTGCACTGCTCCAGGGTCTCCAGCCCCGCGCCCTTGGGCCCCCCTTCCTGCCGCGCAGCTTCCTCGCGCCCTGGGGTCCTTAGGTAGCCAGCGTCCTGGAAGATCGCCCTCAGCAGCTTGTCGTGGCCCTGGGGTGGGGGAGGGGGAGAGGGAGTGTGCGGGGGGCCGGGGAGGGCACCAGTGTGCACCTGGAGAGGGGTTGGGGGGCGCCGGCGTGCACCTACCTGGGGCGTGATGAGGCCATCGGCCAGGTCCTGCTCCACCTGGTCCCAGCGCCGCTGCAGGGCCTCTGGCAGGGTCGGGTACACTGCGCATCCAGACAGGAAGTGGACTCGCTGAGCTCCGCCCCGCCCCTTCTAAGGGGCGTGGGCAGGAAGTGGGCTCAGGCTCCGCCCAGCGCCCCGCCCCTACCTAGCAGAGAGTGGGGGTGGCAGGCGAGGGGCGTCTCAAAGGTCAGCACGTAGACGCAGGTGCTGGGCTCGGACACGTGGGCCAGCCGGTGGCGTCTCCCACAGGTAAGCTCCACCTGGGAGGGGCGCAGGTTGGCGGCGGGGGCAGGCCGGCCCCCGCCCCGGCCAGGTCCCTGCTGGGGGTCACCTTGCTCTGCCGGCTCCGCGCGCGGCAGGAGTCGCCGTCCCTCATCCACATGCCCGCGAAGGTGTTGTTGGCGATCTCCCACTCGTGCCAGACTCTGGGGAGCGGGACAGGTGTGTGGGCCGGCCGGCCGGCCGCCCGGCCCCGCGGGGTGTGAGGCCGCCCGGGGCGCGTGCTCACCCGAGGATGCCGCTGTAGGCGTTCCAGCGGAACGTCTGCTCGTGCTGCGTCACGTTGTGGAACGGGCACAACTCGTACTTGTACCTGGGAACACGGGCGTCACGCCGGCCCCGCCCCCGGCCCTGGCCACGCCCACCCCGGCCCTGGCCACGCCCCCCGCCCCCCGCCCCGCACTCACGTGGACTCCACCAGGCTGAAGCACTTGCCGGAGAGCCGGGAGAGGTGCCTGGGCCCTGGGGGGGGGGGCGCCGTGAGTCCCCCCAGGCTCCACGTCTGTCCCCGCGGAAACAGCCCCCCCCCCAACAGCAGCTCGGCCCGTGCCCCGCCGGCTGCCCGTCCTTGGTGGGGCCTGCACCCACGTGGGAGACCCGGATGAACCAGCAGGGGGTGGGTGACCCCGTCGTCTCTAACTGCCTTCAAATAAATCTAAAAACAGCAGGGCTGGACTGCTTTCCAACGGAAATCACGAGGCGGAAATCACGAGGCGAGGGGCACAGACGGCGGAAAAAGAGACAGGAGACCGCCCGGGGGAACGGACTCAGATGAGGGCGCGGAGACCCTGGCTGTGCTGCAGAGGGGGGCGGCCTGGGCTCCGCTTTCAGGACCGGAGAGCGACACTGGCAGGGGCGTGGGTGGGTGTGGCTCGGTAGCCTCCAGGTCACAGGGAGGTCCAGGTGCCGCTTTGCTTACACACTCTCCGTGAGGCCTTTCAAAATCCCTCCACGAACCACAATGCGTTTTCTTTGAACGGGGATTCCCCCCAGCGCCTGCACCCGGGTCTCCCACGTGGGTGGCAGGGGCCCCAGACCCTGAGCCAGCGTCTGACTTCCCAGGCGCGTTTGCAGGGAGCCAGCACAGGTGCGGGCGTCGACCTGCGGGCCACCAGGCCTGTGCCCCGAGTTTTGCTTTAATCCCGATTTCCAGTTTCTCCAGTTCCCGGTACACAATCCACACAGTGACCACGAAGGCAGTGCTGACGCAATACGTGTGGCACAAAACAAAGCCAGGAAGGGACAAACATTCGGACCACTTAAGTCCCATCGCAGAACAGATGTGGGAACGCCGGCACGGCTGGGGGCCCCACTTGAGATCCAGAGACGTGGGCTGGCGAGGGACGCGTGCGGCAGACTCCAGGAGCTGCTCAGAGCTGCCCGGGGCCCTGCTCCCCGGCGCCCGCCGACTTCCAAAGACACGGCAGAGCTCCGGCACGGTGAGCGTGGCCACAGCTCCAGGGCCCCGCAGCGCACAGAACCCAGGGCCCTGCACCCAGCCTGTGCGGGCGTCTCAAGGTGAGACCTCAAAATCCCACAGAACCTGTTCTGGCCGCCGAGCAGGGTCCAGGAGGGGACCCCAGCATCGCCTTCGGCCCGGTTCCAGCCCCGGCTGCTCCACTCTCCCACCCAGCTCCCCGCTGATGCGCCTGGGAAAGCAGGGGAAGGCGGCCTGAGTACCTGGGCCCCTGCCCCCTACACGGGAGCCCTGGACAGAGCCCCAGACCCCGGCTCCCGCTGCGGCCTCGCCCAGCCCTGGCCCGTGAGGCCATTGGAGGAGTGAGCCAGCCAGTGACCTCTCGTACCCTGCCTTTCGGATAAATAAATGATGATCAGGCGCCTTCCAGCACACGACGGCCGCGCTGCCAGAGAGTGCCCACCGGGACGGAGTCGGGAGACAGGCTGGCGGGAGGCTCACCGCTCCGTGAGGCCAGCAGCACCAGAGCGCTTCGGGCCAAGATCCCTTTAAGGACACGGAGCAGAACCCTCAACGTGCTGCCAGCAGGCCGAACCCAGCCGCCTATGAACCTGCTGCCCACCACGACCAGCAAGGCTCTGTCCAGGGTGCAGGGGCCGCCCGGAACACACGCGGGGCTGCCTAGAGCACACACAGGGCCGCCCGGAACACACGCGGGGTTACCTAGAGCACACACAGGGCCGCCTAGAGCACACGCGGGGCTGCCCAGAGCACACGCGGGGTTACCTAGAGCACACACGGGGCCGCCTAGAGCACACACGGGGCCGCCCAGAACACATGCGGGGCTGCCCGGAGCACACACGGGGCTGCTAGGGCGCAGGGGCTCCCACGTGCCTGCTCCCCACGGACGCCCACACCCCCAGCAGGGAGGAGGGAAGATCTTCCTCAGCATGACAGGCGTCACACCAGAGGCGCACAGCCCAGAGCCAAGCCCACGGTCCACGGTGCAGGCTGACCGCTTCCCAGAGGCGCAGCGGGCTAAGCTGCTGCACTGGACACTTCCGACCCAACTTCCTGCAATGCATGCTGGAGGCCCTGCCACCCACAGAGGAGACCCGGACGGAGCGCCCGCCGTCGCAGCCGTCTGGGGAATGAGCAGGACTCGCTGTCACTCTGCCCTTTCAGAGCGCCGTTGAGAAGAGAAGAATCCCAGTGTGCTCCCGGCTCCTCGAGCCCTGGCCGGGCAGAGGCACAGGGAGCCGGGGGCAGACTGGCTGCTCAGGGCAGGGACTACGTGGGAACCTGAGACGCGCAGGCTTGCGAGAGCGACTCAACAGAACTGCAACACAAAACGACGGCGTCGGCACCAGCAGACGAGGGACGCGAGGTGGTTCCACCCATGAGGACGTGACACGCAACAAAACACCAGGGGCTCAGCCGCCAGCTGCAGCCACACGCGCCGGGCCTGGGCTGAGTCCTGCCTCTGCCTGACCACTTTTTAAATTAACTTATTTGAGAGGCAGAGTTACAGACAGGCAGAGGCAGAGAGAGGTCTTCCAGCCGCTGGTTCACTCCCCAAAAATGGCCGCAATGGCTGGAGCAGGGCCGACCGGGAGCCAGGAGCTTCTCCCGGGTCTCCCATGTGGGTGCAGGGCCGCCCTCCACTGCCTTCCCAGGACACAGCAGAGAGCTGGACTGGAAGAGCAGCAACCGGGACTCAAACCGGCGCCCATTGGGAGGCTGGTGCCGCAGGCAGCAGCCTTACCCGCTGCACCACGGTGCTGCCCCCACCCTGTCTCTCCTCCGACACGCTGCCTCTCAGGTACGTAAATCACAAAAAAAAGGGAAAAAAGGGAAAAGCAGCTTGCCGAAGAGGAAACTCAGATCCCACCCCAGGAAGGGTCCACAAGCGAACACTGCAGGAGACCCTGCAGCAAACCAGACCCGCCCACAAGGACCGCCCGCGCAGACCCCGCCCACAAGGGCCGGCCCGCGCAGACCCCGCCCACAAGGACCCAGCAACTCCGGGGCACACACGAAGAGGCTCACAGGACCATGGAGACACCGCCCCCTGGGCAGCCCACCACTACACAGGGCTGGGGACCTCCGCTCCGTGCCACCGGGGCGGGGACAAAACGGCACAGACTCTGCGGGCAGCCGCTCAGGAAACACACAGAACTGCCAAGACCCAGCGACCACACGGGGCACACGCCCCAAGTCCCACACGGGGCACACGCCTCAAGTCACACACGGGGCACACGCCCCACCAGTCCCACACGGGGCACACGCCCCACCAGTCCCACACGGGGCACACGCCCCACCAGTCCCACACGGGGCACACCCCCCAAGTCCCACACGGGCACACCCCAAGTCCCACACGGGGCACATGCCCCAAGTCCCACACGGGGCACACGCCCCAAGTCACACACGGGGCCCACGCCCCAGAGAACTGGCAGCAGGGTGAGGGACTGGGTGCAGCAGGAGGCTGCCACGGGGAGGCCCCCTCCTCCTCTGGGCCCAGCGGGAGTCCTGGCTGCTCTGGTACCACTCAGCCCCTGCCAGCACAGCCGGGAGGCGGCGGAGACGGTCCAAGTGCTGGTCCCCTGCCTGCCACGTGGGAGACCGCAGTGGGCCTCCTGGCTGCAGCCTGGCCGGGCAGCCACGTGGGAAGCGAATCTGAAGACGAAGATCCCTCTCTGCCTCTCCCCCTTCCTCTGTCTCAGGCTAAGCCACGGCCTGCAGCGCCGGCTCGCCACAGAGGAACCGTTCACTCGCGGCTGCTC